AAGGTCCCCAGCCTCTGTTCTCTGAGCATTTTATTCCTATTGGCGTTCGTTCCTATTCCCAATAGCATCTCTCAAAATATGGAAGAGAAACTTATAAACTTGTAGACTTATAATCACATTTCATATTTTAAACCAAACGGCAACACGTACATAGTATATATTTTACAATTTCTTGTCAGAAGCTTGACAGTGGAGCCAACATGCGACAGCAAGAGCAGCCTTTGAGCACACCCACAAGAGACAAAGTTCAGGCGACGTTAGCGACATGTCGCCTCCTAATGTGACCGTATGGGAACTGATCAGTAACTAAACTGTTGGCTCACTTTACGATCGCATTTGAACGATGAATGAGAGACAATGTCTTCACGAATGATGTAGCCTGGGAGCGCTAAACAGCTGTCAGTTCTTATTGTATAAAAACCCCCTGAGGTGAGACTGTCTTAGTCTAGAGAGTCTGAGGGGATACACCACTTCACTTACTGTACTGTGACTGTTGTACACTGAAGCAGTTTTAAGGATCTAAGTTTCTCATGGATGTGTTATAACGCATTATAAAGGTCGCTGTGAGCAGGGTTCGAACCTGCGCAGGGAAACCCCATTGGATTTCGAGTCCAACGCCATCTTCCTCCACATCGATGCTGCATCCTCCTTCACCCCCAAGTTATAGGGGTCCGAGCACCAACAACGATTTGTGCAGACCAAAACATTGCTTGCTGTCATCTCGAGATAACAACTTTTGTTTTCTTAAGATTACAAGATAACTAACTTGTTATTTCAAGACATCAACTTTGTTATGTAGAGGTAACAAGATAATGACCTCGTTATCTCAAGATAACAATCCAGAATATTATAACTACCTCATGGCCTCTCTGGACTTCTGTAAGAACCTGCCTGAAATCGGACTGAAGTGCACTGTTAATGTAGCTCCTTTTAGCAGTAGAGAAGGGAGAGTAATGAGGGATGATGATGCTGCTTATATAAACAGCCCTGAGGTGAGACGGTCTTAGTCTAGAGAGTCTGAGGAGCTACACCACTTCACCTAGGATCTAAATTTCTCATAAATGTGTTATAACGCATTATAAATATCGCTGTGAGCAGGGTTCGAACCTGCACGGGGAAACCCCATTGGATTTCGAGTCCAACGCCTTAACCTCTCGGCCATCACAGCTCGACAGGCGCACTTTGGCATCTTCCTCCACATCGATGCCGCATCCTCCTTCACCCCCAATTTATACCGACTTGTGCAGCCCAAGACAATCCTTGCTGTCAAGCTGTGATGGCCGAGAGGTTAAGGCGTTGGACTCGAAATCCAATGGGGTTTCCCCGCGCAGGTTCGAACCCTGCTCACAGCGACCTTCATAATGCGTTATAACACGGCCACTGAAAGTGCAGCTCCTCAAAACTCATTCAGGTCTCTCTTAGTGAAGTGACACTATCCTCAGACTCTCGAGACTAAAGGGAACTGTTAAGCGACTTCAAGCCATGTTCACAGTGATGTTCATAATGCTTGGCAGCTATTCCAAGCTATCTTTACAGCACTGTTCCTGAGACCCACTACACTACAGATTGATTCATTCAGATCACATTGATCCAGGGAAAGGTTGCAGATCAGCTGATGAACCGGCTCGTGTGTGTTGAGGAAACTCTTTTTAAACAGAGAAAGAACATTGGCTCCCTACACGCTTGGAAAGAGTTTTTAATGAGCTGCAATGCACATTCTCACCGCTAGATGCCACTATATTGTATTTAATGCGCCACTTGGCCATTGCAGCCCGTTTTGAGATTGCTACTCTTAGTCGCTACCAATAGTAGCACTCAAAATATGGAAGAGAAACTTATAAACTCGTAGACTTGTAATCACATTTCATATTTTAAACCAAACGGCAACACGTACATAGTATATATTTTACAATTTCTTGTCAGAAGCTTGACAGTGGCACCAACATGCGACAGCAAGAGGAGCCTCGAGCACACCCACAAGATGTGACCATATGGAAACTGTTCAGTAACTAAACTGTTGGCTCACTTTACGATCGCATTTGAACTATGAATAAGAGACGAATTCTTCACGAATTATGTAGCCTGGGAGCCCTAAACAGCTGTCAGTTCTTATTATATAAAAAACCCTGAGGTGAGACTGTCTTAGTCTAGAGAGTCTGAAAGGCTGCACCACTTCACTTACTGTACTGTGACTGTTGTATCCTGAAGCAGTTTTGAGGAACTGAATTTCTCATGGATGTGTTCTAACGCATTATAAAGGTCGCTGTGAGCAGGGTTCGAACCTGCGCGGGGAAACCCCATTGGATTTCGAGTCCAACGCCTTAACCTCTCGGCCATCACAACTCGACAGGCGCACATTGGCATCTTCCTCCACATCGATTGCTGCATCCTCCTTCACCCCGACTTGTGCAGACCAAGACGATCTTTGCTATCACGCTGTGATGGCCGAGAGGTTAAGGCGTTGGACTCGAAATCCAATGGGGTTTCCCTGTGCAGGTTCGAACCCTGCTCACAGCGACCTTTATAATGCGTTATAACGCGTCCACTGAAAGTGCAGCTCCTCAAAACTCATTCAGGTCTCTCTTAGTGAAGTGACACTATCCTCAGACTCTCGAGACTAAAGGGAACTGTTCAAACCATGTTCACAGTGATGTTCATAATGCTTGGCAGCTATTCCAAGCTATCTTTACAGCACTGTTCCTGAGACCCACTACACTACAGATTGATTCATTCAGATCACATTGATCCAGGGAAAGGTTGCAGATCAGCTGATGAACCGGCTCGTGTGTGTTGAGGAAACTCTTTTTAAACAGAGAAAGAACATTGGCTCCCTACACGCTTGGAAAGAGTTTTTAATGAGCTGCAATGCACATTCTCACCGCTAGATGCCACTATATTGTATTTAACGCGCCACTTGGCCATTGCAGCCCGTTTAGGGACTGTTACCCTTAGTCCGCGGGAGATGAGGGACTTCATTAAGTAAGGAGTTCAGGGCTGCTACATTTTCAAAGCATGCGTTATAACGCATTATAAAGGTCGCTGTGAGCAGGGTTCGAACCTGCGTGGGGAAACCTCCACATCGAGGCATCACCTCTCATTTATAGGGGTCCAAAAACCAAAATCGACATGGGACCAGATCATAAGGCTTCACGCCTGTCAGTGATGGCATGCCAGCTGTGATGGCCGAGAGGTTAAGGTGGTGGACTCGAAATCCAATGGGGTTTCCCCGCGCAGGTTCAAACCCTGCTCACAGCGACCTTTATAATGCCATGTAACGTCGACCGCATTAGCGGTAGCTTTCATGCTAATGAAGAACAACTAAGCTGGGGCAGATGTGGGAGACTCTGCAGTAAGGTCCAGGAGTAGAGGTGGTGACCTCCCCCAGAAACAGCGTTCGGCAGGAACTCCAATCTCCAACTTCACAGCACCGTTTCTTAGTCTCCTTCACTGCACAGTTTCTCTGACCGCACTGCTCCCCCTATTGGCCAGGGTTTGCATTACAGCGACTGAAAATAATTAACTATGAAAAGTCTAAAGTCTTTTAAGAGGGTAGAATGATGTGACTTGGTGTAAAATATCACTTAAACACTGTATTACTGCGGTGTATGAGATGCTTCTGCACCAGCTGTGTTTTGTAGTGTTTATTTTGTGGGCGGAGTCAGTAGTATAGAACAAAAACACTGTGTATTGTCTTTAAATGGAACGTAGAACAGCATTTGCTTATACCACTGTTCATTTTCTAGTAACTACTATGAATTCTAAAAACAGGAAGCCATGAGCAGTAATGTTACAGTGATGTTATATATATATATGTGATATATATATATATATATATATATATATATATGTATATATATATTATGCCAAAGCCTTATCAAAACTATCATAAAACAGTGTCTCAGACATCAGGCAGTGCATTCATAATCATTTCATGTAATAACGTTCTGTAAGGGGGCTTTTAGAGGTGGACGTCTGGTTCCTATCACCACCACTGTGAACAATTCTGACTCTGTAAGTTTATCTAGAACAGAGCGTTCTCTGTTTACTCTGTTTACATCTCAACCAATTTATTATGCAGAAATTTTGAAAAAAACCTCTTTTAAACATCTTTCAGAATGAATAATGTGTGTCTCTCATTATTCTCTCATTGAGTATTTTTAAAAGTGGATCAGCCAATCATGTTTTAGAACTGGAACTGTCAGTTTTGTTATCAGTAACTGCTATAAAATATTTAGGAGCCAAACCGCTATGAGGCCTAGAGCCCCCTCGATTCACCAAGAAGCCCTATGAGGAGCATGTAGTATTTATAATTTAGTTTATATGGTATTTATTTTGTTTTATTTATACATTAAGTTATTCAGTTGGCCTTTTAACTCACTTCTGTTCTTAACAGAATGAATGAGGTATCATTTCTGTTTCATCCTTGAATACAAATGGTCATGATCATGTCTGTAAGATGTTGTTAGAGCCTCCAAAAGTTCAGAGAGAAACCTGCACAGATCAGGTGGATTTATAATAATAATTAATTATAATAGAAAAATAGTAAAGTTCGGGTGAATTTCAATGGGGAGTGTAAAAAATGATCTTTTGGCGCCACCTGGTGGCAACAGCGAGAACAGAGTCTAGAAACCCACTCGTCAGTTTCAACAGACCTGCTATTTATCCACTTTTCTTAACTCACTAGTAGCCTGTTGTGTTTCTATACATTAACATATGTACATACAGATATACGCGCTTGAATAAACCTGAAGACCTCGTCACATTAATTTTGTGTACCTTTGAGAGAGATACAGTGAGAAATGGGGCATATTTACGGAGAAAGTGATAGATAGGTGAACAATACCGTAAAAATAATAGTGTAGAAGTGATAATATATGTAAAAAGCACAAGTTCTAGCCCCGCCCCAACTTCCTGCCTCTGTTTAAGGCCTAAACGGCTAAAAAACTACATTTCCCATGGTGCACCTGGCTCACTTTTGCTTTGATTAGTAGCAGCGTGTCCTGCTTTTCCCTCTTGTGTCTCTGAGTCTGTGAGCAGCATGGCCTCTGAACTCGGTAACCTGCTTTTCTTTATTTTCGACTTTAAATTGGTTAGTTTACCGCTTTTAGGCGAGTTAAGCTCTTTTTGTAACGGCGGGGTTTATTTTGCAGCTCTGTAGCAGCAGAAAACACCATGTTGCTGAGAGTTAATGGAGTTTTTAATGGTGTATAGTTGCTTTATTTACACGGTAAAGTGTTTCTGCTGTGTAGCTGTTAGCTTGTGTGTCGGTGTGTCCTGTCTTGTGCAGTTAGCTTGTGTTGTTTGTGTAGTTTATCCATAGTGTAGTAGTTTGTTGTGTAGTTCTCCATTCATCACTTCCAGAACCCTTCATGAGCTTAAAATGGGCCTTCAGAGAGCAGGACAGGGGGGGTCTACAGGACAGGGGGGCTTATTCTGCTATTCAGCAATAACATTAAACCCACTACCTTGTATTTACACTCATTGTCCATTTTATCAGCTCCATTGACCAGATAGTCTCACTCTGTAGTTCTACAGTTACAGACTGTAGTCCATCTGTTTCTCTGCATACTTTGTTAGCCCCCTTTTACCCCTGTTCTTCAGTGGTCAGGACCCCCACAGGACCACCACAGAGCAGGTACTATTTGGGTGGTGGATCATTCTCAGCACTGCAGTAACACTGACGTGGTGGTGGTGTGTTAGTGTGTGTTGCGCTGGTCTGAGTGGATCAGACACAGCAGTGCTGCTGGAGTTTTTAAACACCTCAGTGTCACTGCTGGACTGAGAATAGTCCACCAACCAAAAATATCCAGCCAACAGCGTCCTGTGGGCAGCGTCCTGTGACCACTGATGAAGGACTAGAGGATGACCAACACAAACTGTGCAGCAGCAGATGAGCTATCGTCTCTGACTCTATCTTTAATTTAATATACGATTAATTCATTAATTAGTTCGTTGTTGTGTTTGTTCTCCAGCTGTCCTCAGTGTGTCGGATAAGAGCGGGCTGCTTGATTTCGCCAAGCGGCTGGTGTCAGTGGGGCTGCAGCTGGTGGCGTCGGGCGGGACGGCTAAAGCGCTGCGGGATGCCGGCCTTTCTGTCAGGTGAGCATCACATGGGCAGAGCTGAAGACTGACCGCAGTATCTACCAGAGCCGTCACGGTTATTCTGTTACACTGGATCACTCGATTTAATAAACGTGTTGATTAAAATGTTCCTTCCCAAAGAGTCATCAGTGATTAGATGGTAGTTTACATGATAATCAGCCTGGTTTAAATTCACAAAAGCCAACACATTGACACACATCAGCCTGCAGCAGATTAGCTCCGCCCATTCATGTTATGTCAGGTTATATGTAGTGCTTCAGCCTACCGCAGTACAAGACAGCCAATCAGAACAGAGGTCATGTACATATTTCAGTTTTAAATGCACAGAAACAAAAACAGCCTGTTTAATTCTAAGGGATAAAAAGACGATTAAAATGGTCATGTAAAAGGTAATTATGACTGATTATATGAAATATTATATTTTTACCACATTAAGCCACACAGATTTTGTTACTGAACATGAAGAGGAACAATTAAATGCAAGAAAACAGTAAAAACTCTTTTAACAGTAAAAGATAGAGCCTGATAGACACACTCATTTCTGTGCATTTTTGCCACGTATATTTCTGTTTTTTACAATCTGAGGAAGTTTAAAAGCTTTTATTTTTCCATTGAAGTGTTCATGACTTGGTTTTGTTCATGTAAGTCAGGTTTTATAATTTGGTTTTTACTGAGAATGTGATCAATAATGAACAGTGACTGCTGTAATATTAACTCTTCCTTTGCTTTGTTCTTTTCAGAGATGTTTCTGAGCTCACTGGTTTTCCTGAGATGCTTGGCGGACGGGTCAAAACCCTTCACCCTGCTGTCCACGGCGGCATTCTGGCCAGACACTCGCCATCTGACCAGGCCGACATGGAAAAACTAGGCTTCAGTCTTGTGAGGTGAGACTGAAAAACAGTCAAACTCTCGACTCTTCCTTAAAAAAACTGACCCGTTTTCCAGCATTTCTTGCCTGTCCTGTTCAGAGTCCCTCTGGAGATTTCACATGGTGAATGAATGTCATGTGATGGTCACACGAGGCCTAATTAGATTTGCTAACTTGCTTAACTCGAGCTCAGAGATGTGTAGAATGAGAAAGAAAGTGCTGTATCTAATCACTGCAGATTCAGATGATCCTGCTGTGACTCGAGGCTCAAGATCTCTGATTGGCTGTAAAGAGGAGTGTAGTAGAATTTGATTGGTTGAGTTGCACATGATTTTAACAGGCTATTATAACGTTTGATGTCCACCAATCTGAAAGTAGGGCTTATTAGTAGAAATGTTTATATTTGTTATTTGTTGGATGCCACATGACCCAGATTATACAGTTGTACACGAAAAGTTTAGGCACTTCTGGTCAAATCTGGTCAAAAGTTGTGTTTTTTTTGTATTTTTTAAGATGAAATAAAGTAACACATCCTCTACAGAGAACACACGTAAGTATAACATTTTGGAAATTTGGAACAATTTCTGAATTTAACATACTGGGGGGGAAAAATGTAATATAAAATATGCCATAATTTTTGCACAGCTCACATTTTATGTTTCCCCCAATATGTTAAATTCAGCAAATAAACAGTACTTGTGCACTGAAATGTGTAGGACTGTGTTTTCTGTAATGAAACTTTATTTTCGCTTTGAAAATCAACACAATATGGAATTTAACCATGGAATTTGATGTCTCATTTTATGACTTGCTTTGAGGTTCAAGACCATGTAAGCTCTTCAGAGGAATAGTATGCATGCAGATATCATGCCTGAACAAAAGGACGTCTATATGGAATTTAGACATCAGACAAAACAGCTTCAGGTTTTGGGGAAAAATGCACAAGTTAAATCATGTCTTGGTTCTCGTTTATCAGGCAAAACATTGTTTCAAATGGCCCCTGGCGAGGTAGCTTCAGCTTCTGTAATGTTGCATAATAACAGTTTTGTGATCAAATTAAAGAGTCCAGATTCTACGACCACAACGTTTACTAAACTGCACTTTTATTATAGTCTTTTATTTCACACATATTAGGCTTCAATTTGTGCTCCGTGTTTGCTTCCACGTCCACTTCAGTGTTAGGGGCTTTCTCAAAATTACTGGACCAAAAAGTGTTAGTTTTGATCTCATATAGCTTCTTTATTCGTGTACCGTTTTACCTTTTTGGCTCTCTTTCCACTCACGTTACACCTTAGCCCTTTCGAGACAAAACGTTTGGGTGCTCCAGGTCTAGACTCTCTTTGGTTGTCCTTTTCAGAGTGGTTGTGTGTAACCTCTATCCATTTGTGAAGACTGTGGCGACTCCGAACGTGACCGTGGCTGATGCAGTGGAGCAGATTGACATCGGTGAGCAAGACGACCAAGCATAATTATTTGAGTTATGTCTGATTTGTTTTAAACTGGAAATTATGGTTTGTTTATAGCCTTAGGCCCAATCCCATTTCTTTATTATTTCCCTAGCTCTTATTTTCAAGTTTCTCCTTGCCACTTGGAACTGAGTTACAAGTTAGTAGTTGAAATTTTCCCCTCTGAAATGGGACCCTCAAATAAAAAGAGCATTACTTCATTAACAGCTACTGGCGCTGCTCTGTAGGCGACCCTGCCAGTCTGCAGTGACCGCAGAGGAGGGTAAAGTTCAGCTCCTCACTGCTGGTCTTTAGTTATGTTTAGGGAATCAAATGCCTTCAAAGAGGGGGGGGGGCAATTACTATTATCACCCACCCCTATTTCTTCAGGGATATGAAGCTGAAGTCGGCTAGTCACCACCTTCTTGTTTGCATCTTTCCGCTCCATCTTAAATGATACAGCAGTTCTGATGCCTGAGGTGCCAGAATGCAGAACTGCTGCACCATTTAAGGTGGAACAGTAATTTAACTAGCTACCAAGACATCAGCATACTGCTAGCGATTTTTTAAATGCTTTTTATGAAGGAAAGGACCATAATACATTTAATTGACATAAAACTAAGATAATACTCTACCATGATAAGATTTTGGAGCGTATTGGTCAGCGCTCATTTAACCCTGTTGTGTCCAGGTGGCGTCACCCTCCTCCGCGCCGCAGCTAAAAACCACGCCCGAGTGACCATTGTCTGTGATCCGTCCGATTATGACCTGGTCGCCAAGGAGATGGAGTCATCTGACAACCATGACACCAGCCTTGATACCCGCAAGACTCTTGCTCTTAAGGTGAACTTAACAAACGTCATAGGAGTGAAGCTCTTGCAGAATGATGGTCCATCACAGTGGTCACCAAGCCTCTTCCTGGAGATCTACAGTCCTGAAGAGCTTTGCTTTAAAAAATACATCTAACATGATGACTCCCCCTTACCTGACACTAGTGCTTCTGATCCAACCAATCAGAAAGCACAGAAGAAGTTAATTAGCTGGAGCCAGTGTGGCAGATTGGGGTTGGAACTAGACCCCACATGAAGGTTGATCTCCAGGACCAGGGTTGGTGAACACTGGTCTACTGTAAGCCTCAATACATTGATTGGGTTTTGGTAACTGTAGCTCAATCAGCTTGTTTTGGAAGAACTTACATGTACCATGGATTAGTGTTATATCTAATACATATACACAATGTATATCTTTACATATTAATCTCGGACGCATAGGCTCGAAACGAAGAGCCGGCTTGATGTTCAGGTCTCAAATGCAAAGTCAGCATTATTCTGATGAAGGTATGATGACAATAGTAGATAATTCACTCACATCCTCAGAAGATGTGTTCTTCACCACGTTTTGAGTTCTCGTTGGATTCTCTTCCACTTGTCAGATTCATCCTCTTGGGGAAGGGGTTTGAAGCACAACCCACACTACAAAATGCATGTTGCATGTAATTACACACCTCCACCAGAGAGGTCTCCAAATCCCCAAAATCTAAAATCTTTAACTGCTAATATGGTACCAGAGAACTTGTAGAGAGGAGAATTATCACTCTGTAATGTCTTCCAGGGTTCTCAAACACTAGAGGGCGCTCCTGAGTGAATCCAAAATGAATGGGTTAATATGGAGCATTTGAGCAAAATCATAGTTTGTAAATGCTTAAACATTTTTAATATAAAAGAATACAATCATTTCCTGAACATTGAACAGCATAAAACATTTTAACGCTGCTGTTATATTTTTAAGAGCTTTTAAACTCGAGTTATAGGAGTTTAAAACGGCGCCTCATGTACGTTCATGACGTCAGTGAGTGCGAACAGCCAATGAGCTGCCCCGCTCGCCAACCAATCAATACTCGGTAGCAGCAATGTTGCCGTCCTGCTGCCCAAAACCTGTTTGCCGTTTACTGTAGAAAAAAAGAAACGTACAGTTGAGTTTCTTTGCTTTTTTTAGTGAAATACATTCTTCTACTGTCTGAAACTAAAGGAAAGTTCTGGTTCAGTGATTAGAAACTATTTTAACTTTTCATTTTAAGCCATTTAGCTTCATTCCCTCCCATTCATTGAGGACATGCTCGCGGGTGCCCTCTGGCGTTTGGCAGTCCTGTTTTTGATATAATGGGGGAAATAGGAAGTGGCCAGACTCCTCATAAACCAGCACTGATGCTACACTATGTAGCTATGAAGAGGTTTGCGGCAGCTGCAAGTAGCAAGTAGTTGAGTTGAAAAATGTAGGCACGTCCTTGTTGCTTAAGGACAGCGAAAAGTTGGCTTTGTCTGAGTGGTCAGCACTCTATGACTGTTGCTTCTGCTTTGCAGCTCACCTTTATTCTTTGCATCAGTAGCTGTTTGCCATCTTACATTCTTTGCAGACTTTTTTTGCTAATTCTTAAATTCTGCGTGCAGCGGTGTTGTACCGTTAGCGCTGTCTGTTGGATGTTTGAATGTTTTTTTTCTTAAGATTGAACGTATCCCTTACTTTTCTTTTGCCCACAACCTGCATGTTAGTAGCCTGCAAAACTGTGATCTGCTTTCTGTGTTTACCAGCCACTTTGCACATCTGACGTGCTTCTATCAGGTCTGAATAAAGGTTTAGTTTTCAGAGGTTTGCCTTTTGGCCCATTTGGCCTGTTTGGCCCGTTTGGCTCCTTTAGCTGTGTTCAGACTTGCACCAGCATCGTTGCGGTTGGTATTGAGCAATACGCGTCTCCAGTATTACCACCCTCTAAACACTCAACCTCCACTCTTAAGCAACAGAGTCAGTGAGTAAAAGCACTGCTTATCTTCTCTCGGCTGAAAACATCATTGATTATTGAACCCTTTGCTAATCAGGTTGTTTGAATAGTGTGTTGTAATGAGAGTGGAGATGTACTGAGAATGTGCCCCGATTGGTGGTCACTGGGTCATGGCCCAGATTCCTGCTGACCTCAGTGGCGGGGCGAAGTCCAGACGGAGAGGGTCATGGTGTTTATCAGTGTTGTTTGGTGGGATATTTAGTGTCTGTCAGAGTGTTGACTCATCATGTCCTCATATGATCTTTGAGGTGAGCGACCTCTAGTGGAGAAGCTGTAATGTGACAGTGTGAGAACTTGAATCTGCACCTTTTATAGGTTAGTAGGAGGAAAAGAAGTTTGGGTGCCCCTGATCTCAATGCCTGACTACTGTTTATTTGTGGAATTTAACATATTGGCAAGAAAATAAACAGCAAAATGTGTACCGGGCAAAAGTTTTATATGTGTATTTTATATATATATAATTAGGAAGTGCTTAGAAATTCTGTGATAATGCGGCATTTTTGCTCATTTTTAAGAGGATTTGTTAACCTGATTTCATTTAGAAAATTGACAACATAGATTGCACAGGGTAGTTCAAACTTTTGCAAACAAATTGTGCATATTTGGGTCTTTATGAAGTATACAGGTATCAAAGAGTTTGTATTTCTCTCTTTTCTTTCATTTTTTCCTGTATTTAACTAATTATAACCATACACTATTTGTTTTATAGGTACTCAGTGTTAGTTTACAATTAAATGGCCTGTTTTTTAATTAGCATTTTTGAGGAGAAGTTCAGCTTTTTTTTCCTTCTTCAAAACATCTGTTCTGTTTACTTTGAGCCTCCTTCAAAAAGAGTAGAAGTAGTGACATCTGACGGTTTTATCTGGATTTGCTTTGATGTAAAAGTTTTGAAATTTTCATCAGTTTTGTTTTTACGTAGCCTTTTCATTTTGATATTTGATTTCGGTTTAGTTTCGGTGAGTTTTAAGAGTGTGTTAAAAGTTAGAGTTTAGTTTTTATTTCCTGAAAAGTAATAGTTTTAATCTAGTTTTTAAATTTTAAATTTTAGTTTTTAATTTTATGATAAGCGCTGTGGTAGCAGGTACTTGATGAGAGTCGAATAAAATGAACAGCTTTTCTTACAGACCCAACACTTTAACTCTCATTCACACAGTGAAAAATTCAATCTAGAGGTTTTTCTCAGTAATTCTATTTCGTTTTTGTTCAGATTTAGTTTTTATGTTTTTGAAAACTGTATTTTTTTTTTTTTTCTTTTATCGTTAACAAATGCTTTTTTCATTGCTGGTTTTCATTTTAGTCATCGTTTAACTTTAATAATGCTGCTGTAGTTTGGGAAAGAAATTACAAGTGTAGTTAATCAGCCACGACGTGTGTTTCTTTAGTTGTGCACTGTAGCTGAGTCTTGGAGTTTATCGCTATCTGTTAGCATGATGCTACCTGCATGCCTAAACAATCAAACCACTTCAAGTTGTTGAGTAATCTCTGCTAGACTCGCTCGTGTGGTTTGATTCAAAGTGGACAAAAGTGTGGTTCTGTAAACCGAAGCTGTAGCCGCCTTATAACCTTTCGTCTCTAATGTATTTATTTTAATGTAGTCTGTTTGTGTGATGATCTCTGCAGGCTTTCACTCACACGGCTCAGTACGACGAGGCGATCGCTGATTATTTTCGGCGCGAGTACAGCCGCGGAGTTTCTCAGCTGCCGCTCCGCTACGGCATGAACCCTCACCAGGCGCCGGCTCAGATCTACACCCTGCGCCCCACCCTGCCGCTCACAGGTCAGTATCATTTACCTTATATATTGTGTTGATGTGTTTTATTTAAGTGGAAATGGAGTGAGTTAAATTTTTTCATTATTTTGTTAATTTAGTTTATGTAACAGTGTTTTTTTTGTTTGTTTGTTTTTCTCTGTTATTAGTTTATTTTTTTGCTTTTTTTGTGGTAAGTTTGGTGTTTTTGATTTTTTTTTTCATGTTTTTTTTTTGTTTTCTGTTTCAATTTGTTCAGAAAAACTAAGTACTGTTTGGAATAAACATCAGAAATCTATTCATCAAATAATTCATCAAATATTGGATCTGACTGTTCAGCTCTGACAAACTTCCAGAAATATAATAGTTGATTTTCTGGTTCTCTCTCTCTCTCTCTCTCTCTCTCTCTCTCTCTCTCTCTCTCTCTCTCTCAGTGCTAAATGGTTCTCCAGGCTTTATTAATCTGTGTGATGCTCTGAACGCGTGGCAGTTGGTCAGAGAGTTGAAGAGCTCTTTGGGAATGCCTGCAGCCACATCCTTCAAACACGTCAGTCCAGCCGGTGAGCGCGCACACACACACACACACACACACACACACACACACACACACACTAGGCATGTGACAAAACGGGTAGCAAAACCTCATAGTTCACCGACGAGGTTTGTACTGTAAATATGCTCTGCATATCTTAATGTAAATCATCTCAACAGCCAGATCGGAATTCCCGTTAAAGCCTGTTAGCTCAGTGTGGTTCGCTGTTGCAGGTGCTGCTGTCGGTGTTGCGCTGAGCGAGGAGGAGGCCAAAGTGTGTATGGTGCACGACCTGCTGAAAGACCTCACACCACTCGCTACCGCCTACGCCAGAGCCAGAGGTACCGCACACACCAACACGTTACTGTCAGACTTCACTTTTCTGCCATTCTAGTACTGATTTTGTTAGGTTTTAATGCAGTCGAGCGGCATTTCACCAGCCTGATGCAGCTATAGTGTAGCAGTTACTAGAGGTGGGCAATATGGCAAAAATATATCATGATACTTCAAAATACTTTCACGATATGTAAGATTTAATAAGGTGGAACAGACAAAATAGAACGTGTAGTACAACATATAAAAGTACTATAATAATAAGAAGAAGAAAAAGAAAAAAACAACTATAGTGATTATTATGCATTACTATGCATTATGTTTTATAAAGTGCTCTGCATTAAATCTAGTTAAACAGCCTAATTGAGCCATTTTTGTTATGAAACATGTAGTTAGTGTCCTTAAAGTACTGATGATAACCATGATATGCTCAGAAAAGCATATTGTTACATAATTTGTCTCAGTAATGATAAAATATCGTCATATTGCCTGCCCCTATCATAATCATAATGGTCTGATGAAGGATATCAGTATATATTTGAAATGGTTCAGTTTCTCATGAAATTGCAATTTTCACCATTTATTTTGTGATTGGTTCATACATATTTATATGCAAATTATAACACAATTTTAACAGAAAAAATGTGTGTATAGATCTGGTCTCTGATGCAACAAAACATTTGATCTTCAAAACACTAATTTTACAGAAAAAGCAAAAAAAACCTCAACTTTATTGTAAGTAAGTGGAACATGAATTTTTTGGTCATTTTTTGTAGTAATTGTTGATCCCATCGTGAAATTTTAACATGGTGTAAAAGGCAGCCGGTATTGTTAAGTAAATAAAAGCCAAATATGGAGATAGAAGTTTGTTCTATACATTATATACATGTGTTGTATTTGCGTCAGACACGTTTTAGAACATATGTTTGGTACAGGATTGGATCACATTGATTCTTTTTAACCTCTGATATCAGTGTTTTCTGCTGATGCTCATATACCATCTCTTATATTTACACATCATGCTAAAGCAACAGTCTGAGTGATCATTTTACATGTCAGTCAAATTAGCTTTTTCTTTCGAAGTAGGCTGTTCTGCTAGATTCACTGGCACTCAAAATGGTAGCCTAGCAACACTGACATGCCAGGCTTTTATTTTTTTTCCCCCCTCCTCTATTCGGTCTCAAAGAGCGAGATTAGTTTTAGATTTTTGAGTAGTACTAGTTAAATAGGTAGATACATAACGAGTGTGTAGTCAGTCGACTCCTGTTTAGTTCACTAACAGCCAATCATAATCTTGTAATAGTTATAAATGTCTGTATTGTTCGTCAGGTGCAGACAGGATGTCCTCATTTGGAGACTTCATCGCTCTCTCTGACCCCTGTGACGTTCCCACCGCTAAGATCATCTCCAGAGAGGTTTGTGTGCTGCAGTGCAGTGATGGGTTCATGCTGAGAGTGAGGCTGGAGGGCTATGTCATTTATCATTCAAAACCATCACAACCTTTTTCTCAAGTTCTCCACGCTGCAGTCGACTGCTTAGCGCCCAGCTCATGTCTCTGGATTCACCCTCCTCTCTGTGCTCTCTCAGGTATCAGACGGAATAATCGCTCCTGGCTATGAAGAGGAGGCCCTTCGCATTCTCTCCAAGAAGAAGAACGGCAACTACTGCATTCTGCAGGTAACAAGTACTTACATACTAGTGCTTCAGACAAGCTCAGTCACTCAGAATCTTCTCATTCACCTTTATTCTCTTTTTCTTAAACATGCACCCAACATCCACTCTGGTGGTGGACAGTTAAAGGCTGTAGCTTAGTTTGTGTTGGTCATCCTGTCTCGTCATCAGTGGTCAGTTTCTGACCACAGAGATGCTCTTGTGGATATTTTGGGTGGTGGAAAAATAATAATAAAGTAGCCAGTCAGTGGAAGAACAAGGTAGGTGTTTCGAATAAAGTGGCCAGTCAGTGGAAGAACAAGGTAGGTGTTTCTAATAAAGTGGCCAGTCAGTGGAAGAACAAGGTAGGTGTTTCTAATAAAGTGGCCAGTCAGTGGAAGTACACGGTAGGTGTTTCTAATAAAGTGGCCAGTTAGTGGAAGTACAAGGTAGGTGTTTCTAATAAATTGGCCAGTCAGTGAAAGAACAAGGTAGGTGTTTCTATTAAAGTGGCCAGTCAGTGGAAGTACAAGGTGGGGTTTCTGATGAAGTGGACAATGAGTGTATATCTTGGTCATTATAAATGTTCTGCAGTAGCTACTCAGCACATCCGTAGTCGAACGTGGTAAGATTACATTCATTCTTAGCCTTTTTAGCTTCTGAGTAACGTTCTTTTAAACGTGCCTCTCTCAGATGGACCCAGATTACGAGCCCGATGAGCAGGAGGTGAGAGTGCTGTTTGGACTGCACCTCAAACAGAAGAGGAACAACGCTGTCATTGATAAAGGCCTTTTCAGCAACATCGTCTCCAAGGGAACGGTGCGCTGCAACCATGGCATTTTTCAGTAGGGGTGTCAGTCTCCTTAGGAAATGGTTCAGTGCATCATTTTTAAATTATTTAGAATTGAGTTGACTTGACAAAGCAACTAAATGGTTTCCTTAGTCCTGTTCTGCTCAATTATGCTGCTCTCTAAATTTAAATTTCAACAGCTTTATATCTTGGGCCACAAAACTGTCCCAAATTATATCACAATCATCTCTTGCACAGATATACATGCATATTGGCTTCCACCTGGGATACCATAGCAATGGTCTAGCAAACACTTTAGCAACCACCTGGGACACCATAGCAACAGCCTAGCAAACACTTTAGCAACCACCCGGGACACCATAGCAACAGCCTAGCAAACACTTTAGCAACCACCTGGGACACCATAGCAACAGCCTAGCAAACACTTTTGCAATCACCTGGGACACCGTAGCAACAGCCTTGCAAACACTTTAGCCACCTTCTGAGACACCATAGCAACAGCCTAGCAAACACTTTTGCAATCACCTAGGACACCGTAGCAACAGCCTTGCAAACACTTTAGCCACCTTCTGGGACACTATAGCAGCAATCTAGCAACACCTTAGCAACAACTTGGAACACCACAGTAGTGGTCCACCTGAGACACCACAGCAATGGTCTAGCAACACCTAAGCAACAACCTAAGACACCATAGCAGCAACCTAGCAACGCTTTAGCAACCACCTCGGATACCATAGCAACGACCTAGGAACACTTCAGCAACCACCTGGGATACAGTAGCAATAACCTAGCAACACCATAGCAACCTCCTGGGATACCACAGCAGCAACCTAGCAACACCTTAACGACCACCAGTAGTACCACAGCATAGAACTTAATTGTATTATATTTGATCATAGATTCTAACTTTCCAAAACTTTTCCAAAATCCAAGAATCATCATCTTTTAGATTGATTGACTGATGAATTTACACCCCGTAGTTAGCAGTGTTATCATTAACTGGGCTTTGCTTTGTGTTGATTGCGTCTCACACTGTTTCCCCTGTTTGTCGGTCATTAGCTGTCTGAGAGGGCTCTCCGTGACCTCATCGTAGCCAGCATTGCTGTGAAGTACACCCAGTCCAACTCTGTATGCTACGCTAAAGACGGGCAGGTAAGCAAACAAGCTGATATAAAATGCAAGCATACCGTTCACTCCAGTCCAGAAAGGAAAGGAAGCTGCATAAACAGTTTGTTTTGAATTCATTATTTTTGTGATGTCTTGAGAACCAGCTCATTCGCATATATCCACCTAGTTAGCCTATAGCAGTTTAGCCCCACCCACTCACACTGAAGTTAGGAGTGTTTCAGTCCTGTTTTTGATTGAAGCACAATACAGCACAGCCGGTCAGAACAGAGGTCGTTGTGGGGCGCAGTGGTCCTAAAATACAAGGGAAGATGTGTGATGTGGGCCTTTTAACTAATTAATAAACAATCTTGGTTGTTATGAATCCATGCCGTAGAAAACCACTGTTAGCCTCATGTTTGGCTCTTACAGAGTCTAAAGCAAAGATAATTGAGATTGATGTGATCTAGTCAGATACACTGGCCTTCAAAAGTTTGGGGTTTACATAATGTCTTCAATAACTGATTGTGTTTTCTTTGGTTTATGTTGAGAAAAACCATGTGAGCACTCAGACCTTTGGGCCAAAAGCTCTTCAGTATAATAGTATTGATAATTTAAAACGGTTAGTAAATTAACAGAATAAGGAAAAACTTTGCTTGTACATTTTTGCCGTAGTTGAAATATTAATGTTTTTTTCTGTTGTAAATTTCAGTAGAAAGTAGTTCTGAATGTGTGTTTGTGTGCCAGGTGATCGGTATCGGTGCCGGACAGCAGTCTCGGATCCACTGCACTCGTCTGGCGGGTGATAAAGCTGACAACTGGTGGCTGCGGCACCATCCCAGAGTGCTGGGCATGAAGTTCCGCTCCGGGGTCAAACGTGCTGAGATGGCCAACGCCATCGACCAGTACGTCAGCGGCACCATCGGAGAGGTACGCTCTAATATAACAACACAGTCTCGTATTCTTCACCCAGTCAAAGCTGCTCTCAGTGCCCGTCGCCACATCCACAGTTCAGTTCTTTGTGTCCATGAAGCTTCCTGAGTATTTTCATAGTAGTTACTAATTAGTCCTGTGTCTTTACAGAATAATCTATTGTAGTTACAGTATAATCTGTAGTAATTACTGAATAATCCATTGTAGTTACAGTATAATCTGTAGTAGATACTGAATAATTTATAGTTGTTACTGAATAATCCAGTGTAGTTATTATAAAATCCTGTCTTTACAGGATAATCTATTATGGTTACACTATAATCTGTAGTAGTTACTAAATAATCCAGTGTCTTTATGGAATAATCTCGTCACAGTATAATCTGTAGTAGTTACTAAATAATCCGGTGTCTTTATGGAATAATCTCGTCACAGTATAATCTGTAGTAGTTACTAAATAATCCGGTGTCTTTATGGAATAATCTCGTCACAGTATAATCTGTAGTAGTTCCTGAGCAGTTCTGTTGCAGCCATATTGAAAGGAGGCGCTGATCTCAGATCTTCAGTCTGATGCTGAGGTGTTTGCTGTTATCAGGGTCCTGACCTGGCCGTGTGGAAGGCTCTGTTTGAGGAGGTTCCTGAGCCTCTATCGGAGACTGAGAGGAAGAACTGGCTGAGCTCTCTGCAGGCTGTAGCTCTCAGCTCTGACGCTTTCTTCCCCTTCAGGGACAACGTCGACCGCGCCAAACGGGTAACAAACACCTCGTCTTGTCTTTCACCAATTTTGATCCGCACTTGATTTATTTTAAATATCTCTGCTTCCCTTTTCTTTCTGTTCTTCCAAATCATATTAAGTTTATGTAGATTAAGGCCTAATACCTCAGTTTTGTGGAAAATCAGATTTATATGCTTGGCCCCCGTATTTCACGTGACGATCAGAGCTATTCAGTTGTTTCTCCCTTGTCAGCAAACCGATTGACTCTTTATTGAAGTTTCTTTCCGTAACACATTTGCAACTTTTCCCATTCGTATTTCAACCAGTGAACTGCCTCCTATTATAAAATCTCAGGTCATACAATGTCCAACCAATCAGTGTCATACAAACTGAATGCCTAAATCTCTCAGACTTGCTTTTGTGGTTTCTGACACCGTATGACAAAATTATCTATAAAAATGAGGGTAACACTTTATTTGAACGCTGCTACATAACATTGACAAAACCATGCCATAAACATGTCCATAGTAGATGTCATAATGTTTGGTGTTATGACAGCTTATGTCATCTGTGTGCTCTAGTTAGTCATCATGATATCAAATATTGGTATCTGTCATGACAACTAATAGTAACGTTAACATGACTGCTAACTTGGTGCTGAAGATGTAGAAGTGGTGGACAGCTTTGGCCTCCTTGGACCAACTATCAGAAGATCTAGCAGTCAAGAAATGTGCTGTGGTATTCCAGGTGGTTGCTAAGATGTTGCTAGGCCATTACACTGGCCAGGTGGTTGTTAGGCCATTGCTGTGTGATCCCAGGTGGTTGCTAGGCTGTTGTTATGCTATTCCAGGTGGTTGCTAGGCCATTGCTTTGCTGTCCCAGGTGGTTTTTAGGCCATTGCCATGCTATCCCTGGTGGTCGCTTGGGTCTTCCTAAGTTGATGCTGTTATCCCAGGTGGTTGCTAGTATGTGTGTCTGTATGTAATGTCTACGATGGTCAGTGTGAGATGTCCTTTGTGACATCATTTTTAGCAGTTACATTTGATTTTCAACATTCATGCCGTTCATTTTCTCTAGGGGGAAAAAATGTTTGAACGAACGCTGTATGAAAACCGTACATCTGATCTAAAAGCACAAGCGCACTATTGCCATATAGGCTCTACGGTCCTTCATAGTTTCATGGTTTTTGCTCGTAACCCATGAAAACAGTACCAAAAAGCATAGAATATTAAGAAGATAACAAAGAACAGCTTTTTTGTCAAGCCAACTTATAACACCATATGACCTCTTCCATGTCCTATTTGCAGCACAGCTGTGTCAATGTTATGTAGCAAAGGTTGAAGTAAAGTGTTACCCATATGGAGTGCAGCCTTCAGAGCTCTTTGTACTCAGTTAATGTATTTTCATGATGTTCACTTTCCTGTTTTTGTGTTTGCAGAGCGGTGTTGAGTACATTGCTGCCCCTGCTGGCTCCACTGCTGATGAGGTGGTCATCAATGCCTGTAACGAGCTGGGCATTACTCTGGCGCACACCAATGTGCGCCTTTTCCACCATTAAAAAAAAAAAGGGGTCCTACACCAGCACCCCACCATGACCCCACCCTAGACCCAAACTCCTTAACATTTTCCAAGTAGGGCCGCATGAAACGAAAGCATATCAGGATACCATATGGAGATCGGTAACAATTTTGCATTGGTGATGTGAATACAATGTAGTTAAAACTGATGTGGTGATGTTAAAGACTAGCTTGAGTTAGGTTTAAAGCACAAATGCTGGCTCATCCGAATGCTTTGATGATCACAGCAGTCAGTAAAACTCACTGAGTTGGTTCAAAGCTCATTTGCACATTGCAGCCTTCTTCAATACCAGGATTTCAAAGGTCAATATCGCAAAACCGATTGAAACAATATATTGTGCAGCCCTACATATTAACCCTTAATGTTCACCTAATTGGATTCCACATAGCATTAACATAACTACATTCTTTGGAGTAGAACAGGCAGATCTGCCACCATGGAGCTCTTTCCCTAACAGCCTTTCTTGCACTAACTTCGGTCCATGTAGTGTTGATACATTCCCTAACGTCTACTCAGAACATTCCCTTTTTCTACTGTAGTAAAGCACCTTCGAGTGATGTCAAAATGCCTTTAGATTGAGTTAAATGGTACAGATCTTTAGCTGACACTGCGTTCCACTGTTCCGCATTCCACTCTGTACTGCCTCTAGTGTCCGAGAGCCATCGCGGCTGAAACTGAAGAGACGGAATAAACAGTTTTTCAAAGATTTTGTCGTCTTGGTTCATTGAAGATGTCAGTGGGAAGTATCTGTATTATATCTACCCTGTATATCACACCTGTATGAGCTTGTCGGACGTCCCATTTCAAAACCATGGGTAATAATATGGAGTAGAGAGTGTGTGAGAATTTGTGCCCATTCAGTCAAGAAAGCATCTGTGAGACTGACACTGATGTTGGACAAGGAGACCTGGCTTGCCAGTGTTTTGATTCATTCTAAAAGTGTTGAGTGGGGTTGAGGTCAGGGCTCTGTGCAGGCCACTGGTGTTCCTCTACACTAAACACGTCAAACCATGTCTTTACGGAGCTCGCTTTGTGCGCCGGGGCTCAGTCATGCTGAAAAAGCAAGGAAAGGCTCTTCCCCAAACTGCTGACACAAAGCAGCGTATACTTGTCTAAAATGTCTTTTTATGCTGTAACATTATCACCCTTCACTGGAACTAAGGGGCCCAAACCCTGAAGAACAGACCCAGCTCATTATCCCTCCTCCACCAAACTTTACTGTTGGTGCTAATGCATTCCGGTAGGTAGTGTTTTCCTGGCATACCCCAAACCCAGATTCATCCTTCAGACTGACGGATAGTGAAGCGTAATTCATCACTTCAGAGAACGTTTTCACTGCTCCAGAGTCCAGTGGTGGCGCTTTACACCACTCCAGCTGACGTTTGGCATTGTGCATAGTGAACTTAGGCTTATGTGCGGCTGCTTAGCCATGGAAAACCATTTCTTTAAGTTTCTGACTCTCAGTTCTTGTTCTGATGTTGCTTCCAGAGAACATTTGGAACTCTAGTGTGTGATACATCATAAGATATGGTCTACCGCTTCATGGCTGAGCTGATGTTTTCTTTTCACAAAAATAGAAAGCGCTTACAGTTGTCTGGGGTAGACCTAGCAGGGCCGAAATCTCACAGACTGACTTGTGGTAGAGGTGGCATCCTATTACAGTGCCACGTTTAAAGTCATTGAGATCTTCAGTATGACCCATTCTACTGCCAGTGTTTGTCTATGGAGATATTTCTATTTCATTAGCAATGAATGTGGCTAAAACACCTGAACTTAATAGTGACTTTTGGCCACATGTATATAACGTTATGTAGGGATTCCTTTCGGAATGACACACACAACGAGACAGTTTGAGGTTCTTTGTAAAACTTTATCAAAAATGGGAATTTGACAGTAGTGAAGACTTTGGCACCTACAGTACAAAAAAACCTTTACACTCTTTTAATCGCGATAGAAAGAAAACATTTGAGGAACGAAGGGATAAATAAACAAAAAAAAACATTAAAGAAGTTAGAGAAATGAAATCAAATTCCATCAAATTACCAAAATCAAGTGTCATAATCTAAAAACAGTGCTGGCTTCAAACAAACTTGAGCCATAGAAGAGAGAAAAACACAAAGGACTAAATAAAACCTGGTACGAACCTCAAATGAACCGGAGCGAAACTCCAACATTCTCACAAAAACAGTGCTCGATTTTTAGACTCATTCTTTTTGTCTCATACGCAATTACAAAAATAGATTTATCCACTGATTTCTTGTAATACTGGCGGGGTATTTTTAAGTCTGCCTTCAGAGGCAAATGGACAGCCATGGTCAGTCACTTCACGAGCTCTTCCCATACAGTTCAAATTCATAGTCTGTCACACTGTGGTTAAATTTAGTTTCTCTTTAGGTCTTTTTGTTTGTTTTGTAAAGAATAAAAAAAGAAAAAACTGACAGCCAATCAATTGCCTCAACAATTCCTAACAGTGAATGAGAAGAACAGAAGCTATCGCTATGGAATCGTGTGGGCTCTCTGATTGGCTGAGAAGCAGCAGTAGGACGGCGGTGGCGATTATGGTAACCAAAAGGAAGGCTTTAAGGCACTACGGGGTTAGTACGGTCTCACAGACGTCACATGTCCATACAGAGCCCCACTTAAAAGGAGAGGGGGTGGGTTAGAAGGAAGGTCTGGAGGGGGGGCTGGGTCACTCTCTGGGGTGGGGGTTGGCCACGGCATCAGCCAAAAGCTCCGGTCGGAGGCACTCAATGGGGCACTGGATGTTCTGGGGAAAAATAGAGATGATCAGTTAGTCTTAATCTGACAGATGTGTTCCCTCGTTTTCCTTAAATAACTAACTATAATGATTAGCATTGTCTTAAAGGAACAGTCTAGTCTACAGAACTGTTCACAGTGGTGGTGATAGGAACCAGACGTCCCCCTCTAAAAGCTCCTTCACAGAAAGTTACTACATGAAATGGTTATGAATTCACTGCCTGATTTCTGAGAAGCTTTTATAAACCCATTAATGGTGGAGGGATACATGTGAGGAAAAATCGTCCCAAAAGAAAACTTTTTTTTCATATTTTCCACTATTTTCCCATCATCAGCATTGCATATAAAACTCGTGTAGGTTCACTGGTGGTTTTGGATAGTAAATAAAATGTCTATATCTGTGTTGTAGTCATGGCGACCCCTGGTTCCTATCACCACCACTGTAAAGACATCTGAACCATTTCACACCAAACCACTCTGAATCACTCTGATTACATCTCAACCACAGAAATTTTGAAAAGTTAGTGGAGTTCCCCTTTAAGTAATCCCTAATAGACTTGCTTAAGTGGTTTCAAGCTTTGGGAGGACTGGCTACTGTTTTTAGCTATTTGATGTACTTCTATTTGTTTTTATAGATAATAGTATGGATACAGTGTCAGATCTTAAATCGAGTCAATAAATCTAATATTACCTCATTTTGAGACTGTTGTAAATATACAACATTCATTTATTTGTAGTCATTTTTACATTTTAAGTAATTTTAGTATAATACAAGCATCTTTCTTACAACAAGTAAAATTATATGCCAATATAATGAGATCATTTGACTTACTAAAAACACAAAGCAATAAACGATTAAAACTTGATAAATTTTTATACATAGACTAGATTTAAGATCATTTCACTCGCCAAGATGTCATGTTTTTTGCAGTGTGGGTTAGCTTTCATGACTTTAGCTACATTAGCCTCGTAGCGCCAGTGCTAAAACTGAAGCAAACCTCGCAAAGTAAACGTCTTGTTAGCTACATTAGCCTTGTAGCGCCAAAGACGCAACCTTCACACACTAAAACTGTTGTTAGCTACATTAGCCTCACAGCTCTGAAGAAGCAAACATCACACACTAAACGTGTCTTGTTAGCTACATTAGCCTTGTAGTGCCAAAGACGCAACCTTCACACACTAAAACTGTTGTTAGCTACATTAGCCTCACAGCTCCAAAGAAACAGACTATACCAGAGACGTTATAAACGAGGAGACGGTCACTGGATAAAATATGAATGAGAACGCTTGTAATGCTTGTCATGGCGTCTGGTCACGGAGAAAGTCCTTCCCTTCATGTAAAAGAGCCAAAAGAGCTGGTTAACACCACAAGTGGAAAAGGGTCGGTGACACTGTAGAGCTAGCGGGGAAAGCCCCCACTCGCAGTGGGGATCTAGCCAAAACAACCTGAAAAATCACTTTTTTGTGTGTTACTGAACCAAACGCTACAAACTACAGATTTTACCAGAAATTTCAAATATGATTTTTAAAAGCTATTGTGACATTCAGTTTCAAGTATTTTGGTCTCTTCTCACGGAGAGAGAGAGCAGTCTGGTCTTGTATGGCTGGAAATAACTGCCCGGCGGTGTTGCAAAGATGGCTGCCAAGTGAAGAACTTTCCTATAAGGACTTTGATTATACACACTAAACATGTGTTGGCCGACTGACTACATTTGTAACGAAGGGGGTGACTGTAAATTAGATTTTTGTCAACAAATCATTCCTGTGATTTTTGCTTGTGTTAGATTTAGATACAATACACTGCAGAAAATGATATCTTAGCAAGTGAAAACAACTCAAATGTAGTGAACATATCTAATATTTCTTTTTCTGAGATTGTTGTAAGAATATTAAACTTATTTCTAAACTATTTTTACTTGTTTTTAAGAAATTCTCTCTTATGAAAGTGTTCAATTGGCAGATCATTTTACTTGCTTTAAGCATTGTGTCTTGACACAAGAAAACTCAGCTTCATTATTTCTCGGAACAAGTAAAACAATCTGCCAATGGAAGAAGACTTTCACTAGATGAAAGTAGTAATTAATTAAAACTAATAAAAATGTATATAAACAGGTCTTATAATTTATGATATTCTTACAATAATCTCATAAAGAGAAATGTTTGATATAGTAATTACATTTATGGTGTTTACATTTGCTAAGATAGCATTATTTGCAGTGTGAACTGTCCCAGTCAGTAGGATTTGCCCCCCCGGCTGCTGCTGTCCCTTTGTGGGCTGTAGACTCACCACTTTGCGTACGGTGCCCTCGTGGTAGCGGCTATAGGCGTCTGAACGGACTGGCTTCAGCAAACCTGCATCAACCTCAGCTCCTGGCCTTCTGCAGTTCTCACAGCGCCAACCCTGACAAGAAACACACGCGTTATACACTCAACCATTGATATATATTTATACCCAAACACTCAAGTTTCAGAAATGAGCTGTCAGGGACGTTTTTTCTTTCAAATCTATATCTGGAACAAAACCACATTCAAGTTCATCTGGGACGCACCGAACTATTGAAAAAGCTGAGCTCAACCTGATATTGCCACTGGTTAATGGCTCTATCTGGAAGGACATCTTTAAAATATATTTGGTTGTAGTTTGACTGGGTGAGAAAATGTGGATATGATCATTTTTGGACCTATATTTCATGAGAAATTGAGGAGAGAAAGTCAAAAATCCAGCGAATGTCCGATCTAGAGCCAACTTTACTGCACTACTTTTTTTTGGCGGAAGGATTTGCCAATGTTAAAGCAAAGCTCATGCAATGTTCAGGGTCCCTTTGCTTGACTTTTTTTTACCTATTTTGCAGAACTGTTGTATAATCAACCAAAAAAAAACAAAGAAGTTAGAGAAATGAAATCATTATGGATCTGCATGAAGCCTGTTTCTGAAGATCTGAGATTCCTAACAAGTGTAACTTTAATATGTGAACCTTTTTCTTGTCTGATTTGCCTTCTTGTCTGATTTGTTCTTAGTGATGTCATTTTGTTTTGTCTGCGGTCTCTGATTAATTTAGCATCAAATTCTGCTCGTTCTTACCTGCTGTCCCCCGTAGCAGGTGCAGGTGCAGATGGCTCCCAGATATTCCTTCTGCCACTGGTTTCCGACCTGGTACGTCTTTCCATCGTCATAGCATGTGGACGCATCTGTAACCACAAACAAACAAACACAAGATTTTTGTGTCGTCTTCATTTCGGTGATCTTGCACAGTTCAAAATTACCAAGTAACTGAGCAGCTCAGTGGTGCCAGAGAAGGGGCGGGACTTACGTGGCTCGCATTTGAACTCTCCCTTGCCGTTGCCGAGGCAGGTGCAGCTCATCATCTGACCGTTTTCTGCCTGTCTGTCCCACTTCTCTCCGATGCGGTAGTTGTTGCCGCTGTCATGGCACCATTCTGTTTAAAAGAGAACGGTAGGATTTGAAACTGGGAGTTCTGACAAGTAAACAACTTAGAATATGTAAAATAGACATGTATAGAACCCAAAGGACATCTTTAATGTTTCTACTGTGTTTCATTGGAACTCTTGGGACTCCTCTACGGACTTTCTGTATGGCTAGATGTTAAGAGCCTGGCTACTTTGATTCAGTTCTAGGTCATTTCATTTAAATTTCCAAAAAGTACACTGTCCAAAAGTATCCTGAATTCGGTTACTTTAAGGTCCACCCACCCAGCTTGTATAATCTCCATGGTAAAGCACTGACCAACAGAATGGGACGCTCATGAGCCTAAGGTCACCATGACCAGTGCCAAGCAAGGGCTAAAGGGGTATAAAGCCCCCCAGCATTGGGCTGTGGAGCAGTGGAACTGTGTTCTCTGGAGTGATGGAGCTCCATCCAAGAACCATCATCTACCCTCAGTACCTGACCTCACTAATGCTCTAGTGGCTGCCATCAAATCCTCACAGCAATGTTCCAACATCTAGTGTGAAGCCTTTCCAGAAGAGTAGAGACAGTTACTGCATTAAAGAGGGACAAACTTCATAACAACACCAGCAGAAATGCTGGAGGAGGAGGCGTCTACAAAGCACTTTCAGCTAGATTAGCCTTTAATCAGCCTGTAGGGCTAAAGCTCCATTAGCTTCACAGCTTTACGATGGTCAGGTTGAGTCTGTGGCGTTACGTACTGGAAGAGTCACATCTGAAGTGACCGCTGCCCAGGCCGAGGCATCTGCACCAGAGTTTGAAGCCGGTCTCGGACATGCGCTCCCACTCCTCCCCGACGTTGTGGTAGGTAGCGGTGAACGTGTCGTAGCAGGCATCCTTGCTGGGTGAAACGCCCTCTGGGACTGATGTGTATGGAGAGAGGAGTGGAAATAATATGATACACATTAAAACAAAACAATAATAAATGACATCAATATAGGATTGTATATAAAACTATAATACAATATAGAAACAAAACAACAGCACATGCTAGTGCCCTTTACTTTTAATGGAAGTCAATGGAACCAGACGTTTTTAAAGTCATTCTTTTGGTCCATTCATCAGGAAATTTACACACAGTATAAAGGGCAACAGGCCTTATTTGGAAAAGCAGGTCCTTTATTGAGATGTTTCTGTTCGTACCTGTGTTGCCCGCTGTGATGATCTCTTCCAGGATTTTGTGCTTCAGCGCCCCCTTCAGGGCCTCCACGATAACGTTGTATGAGGCTCCGGACGTGAGGCCGATCAGCGTGGCGCTGGTGGAGGTCGAGGGAAGACGCATCTATAATAAAGTAACAGGTCATATTTGTGTTCCCCACTGGATTTTACATGTATGAATATGTTAGCATTATCTGGTAGAGAACTGTCCGTCAGTCCACGTTTACCAGTGTGTCATACAGTGTCAGTAACCGTATAAACAACACTATTAGAGATTATTTAACAACTCCACACTGTTTGAGACAAGTCTGCGATGATTTGTGTGTGCAGTGTGCATGATGCTAATTGGTGGGGTATAAGCTTCCATTACTTGTTAGCTACATTAGCTTTGTAACTTATATGCAAAACTAAAGAAGCAAACTTGTAAATTTAATTTATTTCTGCTTTAATAAAATTTAATTCTGAGTGGTTTGGTGTGAAGTTACAGTGGTGGTGATAGGAACCAGATGTCCACCTCTTAAGGCTCCCTTGCAGCAAATTATTACATGTAATGGTTATGAATTCACTGCCTGATGTCTGAGATATTGTTTTACAATAGTTTGGAGACAAAATATTTGGCCTACAATGTTTTCTTTTTAATATTTTCATGGCAGTGAGGTTTATGCCAGGTGTTATAAGGCCAAATAGTCCCTAGAGAAATCTTATTTTCAGATTTTCCACTATTTTACCGTCTTCATATATAAAAGCTCAGAAGACTCGTGTAGGTTCACTGGTGGTTTTGGATAGTAAATGAAATGTCTATATCTGTGTTGTAGTCATGGCAACCCCTGGTTCCTATTATCACCACTGTAAAGAAATCTGATCCATTTCACACCAAACCACTCTGAATCACTCTGTTTACATCCATTGTAAATCTGTGTATTTGCAGCTGTATGTGCAGCTACTGGAACATCTGCTAAGGCAGTGGTCTCCAACCCTCCTCCTGGAGATCTTACCCAACACTAATGCATCTGATCCAGCCAATCAGGAACCTCTGAAGAAGTTCATGTGTTCATGCGGCACAACAAAGGCTGCCCCCACACTGACTGAGTTCCACTCACCTGGAACATCTTCTCGTCCCCATGTGTGATGGGGTGGCAGGACACCAGGTAGGCGGTGCTCTGCTGGTATGGTTGCCAGGAGATGGTGGTCTGGGTCTGGGCCTCCTGCGGCGTGCCCGTCTGGTTGCCTGGAAAATCGAAAGGCAGGCTATGGCCGGGCCTCTCACTAACCTGCACCACCACAGGCACCCGCACCCCGTCCGGCCCCGCATGGGGAACATACACCAGGCTCTCCCCGACGCTGGGGACGTGGGGGCGGATCCGGGTGGGCTGGTAGCCCCCGTGTGGTGTGCTGGGCTGGTCTGGATGATTGTTAAACTCGGTGTACTCCACATGCTGGCCGCGCTCGGCCTCCCTCGGTGGGGCCGTGGGGCCCGCCACGTGCACCCGGTTGTCATCAATATCCACCTCGGGCACATCCAAGCGGTCATGGGTGCCGAGGCGCGGAAGGGTGGGCAGAAGCAGCGAAGAGTCCTCTGAGCGGGAGAGAGCGGTTAGCAGCAAAGCAGTAAAGAGAGAGAGGAGACTGCAGGAGCTGCAGTAGCGCCTAATGGCCAGAAGGGGGAGTAAAGGTCCAGCCGAGGAGAGATGGCTTTATTCTTTTGGAATTTTATAAAATGTGTGCTTATCCTGAGAGTAACAGACAGTGCAGTACCCCTCAAAAGAAGTCGCCCCATGTTTGCTATAATGTAGTTTGTTCTAAAATTCTAAATTCTTACACAGGGATCAAGTTTGCTGTTTATATTTGTCTAAGAAATAAATTTTCTGCATTTAAACTAAGCTTTCAGATCAAAATATCTTTAAAAATGATGAAAAACATTCCAGTGTCCAAACTTTTGAGTGATACTGCATGCACACTGTAAAAATGATATCTTGTTAGGTGAAATCATCTTAAATCTAGTCCACATATATCTAATATTTCTCGTTTTCAGATTTTTGCAAGAATATAAGATTATTCAACTTGATTCTAGATGTTTTGTACGAGTTTTATTCACATTCAGATGATTTTGCTTGTTTTACGAAATAATGCAAAACATTTTTCTTGTTTTGATAAATAATGCAGATAATTTTGGTTGTTTTGAGAAATAATACAGATAATTTTGGTTGTTTTGAGAAATAATGCAGATGATTTTGCTTGTTTTGAGAAATAATGCAGATGATTTTGCTTGTTTTGGGAAGCAAAATGCAGACTTTGCTTGTTTCATGAAATTAAATTCAGCTTCTTTACTTCTTTGCTTTAAGGAATTAATCACAGAATGAGAATTTCACTACATAAAATGACTTGAAAATGTACAGAATTAACTGTTAAGTTAAATAAACTTAAAATATTCTTATGAAGTCTCATAATGAGAAACATTTTCACTAAATTTAAGATGATTTCACTTGACAAGATCATTTTTTGTAGTGCGTAATCATGAAAGCCAACAAGATAAAACCAAATTGGAACCATAAAAGCAATCTCATGAAACATTCTTCAAACACTGATCCAGTTTGGGCTGTTTTGGTGGTCAGGATCAGTTTGTAAGCGTAGTTAAGAACCAAAAGTTCTCCTTTTTGGATCAGTTAAGCATCAGGCACTGTAGGTTGCCTCCACTTCAAGGTAGAATTCCAATGAAAAGCAGTTTGAGCATCTGTTGCCAAGGAAAGGTCTGGGCCTACATTGCATATGAAGCATCCACACAAGCTTTATTCTGCCTCAGATGCATTAATATAACAGTTTTAAGTGTAACACTGCTGAGCAAAGCCATAACCCAAAGGCAGAGTCAGGCAGAGTCATGCTAGCGACTCAAAACCTCTTTTGTCTGCTTTTACCATTGAGCAAGAAAAAGAGGGTTTTGAAGGAGTACACCTTTCACCCAGGTTTCAGTTTGCGTGTGTATGTGTAAATGTGTGTATACTTACGGGTTCTGGCCTTGCCCACCAATGGGGGGCTTCTCTGGGTGTTCTGGAGAGCAACGATCTTAATGATGTATTCAGTGGCTGGTTTCAGACCTGAAAGGACAACATTTAATCGTGTAAATACAGATGGATTACAGTCTGTAATTGTACATCTATATAATGGACCTATAAGGCAGGAGGAGCTCATAAAATGACCACTGAGTGGACGCACAGGGTAGGTGTTGCTAACAAAGTGGATGAGTGTATAAGGTCATACCCGTGATGGTGGCGTAGTTCACTCCAGCGTGTGGACGTGGTATGAGTTCACTTGGGGTGCTGCCAGCTTCCTCGTAGGTGACGTAATATCCTGTGATGTGGGTGGTGGGAGGTTGCCAGGTGAAGGAGATGGAGGTGGGGGTCAGAGACGTGAACTGCAGGTTTGTAGGTGACTGGACGGCGGGCCGAGCTGAATGGACACACATAAAAACATGGGTCAGTAAGCACTCTACTTCGGTTCCTCTGAATACTGTGTTTATAAGCTCCCAAACAGGGTTTAAAGAAATGAAAGTTAAAGAAATGAAAGTAGATGCTCTGTTGCTCTAAATCATTCAAGCTCACACAATATCTTGCGGTGTTACACAAGGCTCAATTCTGGGCGCTTCATAATTTCTTTAGTATATGCTTTCCTTTGTCTTTTATTCATTTTTAATTGTTTTTTTTTATCTCTGTATTATGTTTGTTGTAAGTCCATTTGCACTGCGACCTGATTTGTCTTTGCCATATTTTGCTGTCTTTTTGGTCGTTTTTTTTCCTTATTTCAATTTCAACGTCTCAGTTTTACCTGTCTTCAACCATAATTTAAAAATTTTCTCACAGGTAGAACCACAGATACACCTCTCCACCCCTCAATTGTCATTTATCAGAAATTCTGCACTTTTCGGTGGACAAAACTTGATAATCAGTTGAAGCTGAAGCCTGTTTGACAGGATACCTGTGGTGACGGTGAGGGTGAAAGGGGGGCTGCGGCTGTCTCCATTTAGGGTGTAGATGTTGATTGTGTACGAGACGCCAGGCTGGAGACCTAAAACACAGAAATACATGTTTATAGAAAATATTTGTTCATATATTTGTTCAATACTTCATTATATAGAACTATATATCAGTTCAGCTCAAAATGGCATGTTGTCTTTGTTAAACCTGCTAAAACGATTCAGGTTTCATACATGGTTCATTTCTTCCATTCACTATTAGCGTTCCTGGACAAATTAGCCCTTTTAGGCCTGCTGAGAGCCAGAGAACAGTTCTAAAAGAAGCAGTGTCTTACCTGTGATGGTGACGCTGCGTGCTTCAGCCGGGATGATCTTCCTGATAGATGGGTAACTGCCTGTGGTGGGCGTGGCCTCAATGAGGAAGCCCGTCATTGGTTCAGTCTTGGTGCGCCAGGTGAGGGTGATGCTCGATTCCTTCACATCTGAGATACGGACACGCCGGGGTGGGCTGACATCTGCAGAGCCAATCAGAAAAGGCTTCCATGTTAGTATGAAAGTCATTAGCATCTCAGAAACATTAATTTTTTCAGTTCTATCTAAGCGCAGAATATACAGAATGCCGGTAGATGCAACTAAGTCTGTCAGTGAGCCCTAATTTACTGCAGATGCTGTTTTGTCACCTGTTGGACTGTTAAACGAGTACAGATCAGGACCAGGTGTGCTGTAGAGCACGGACGACTCTGAGCTATCAGGCCTCACCTTCAGTAGTTGTCACTTCTCCAATCAAGGGCCGGCTGCTGAAGGAATCCTTCAGGGCGTACACATGTACCTCGTACAAAGTGGCCACCTACAGACGTTCGGACAAAGTTTGATGAGCTTCTTAAATGTAATCTAGGGCTGGCTTTATATGGTGAAACTCGCATGCAACTTTAGTTGCTTGAAACTTACATGCAACTAAATTTCACTTGAGTTGCATAACGTAAAGCTAAATGTAAAGTTGCATGCAACTCAAAACATGTAACTAGTTGCTGGAAAATGTCACTGTGTAAAGCCATCCTAACATTCTTAGAGCTTTACTATTTGTTCTCATGTAATGTGTTGTCTAGTCCTTCATCACAGAGCCGCTCTTGTCCGGATATTTTTGGTTGGTGGTCCACTCTTAACCTAGCTGATTGTGTCTGATACACTTGAAAATGATCCACCACCCAAATAACATCTGGACAACAGAAGTCCTGCGGTCAGAAACTGACCAATACCGAATGCTGTTAAGCTGTGCATCAATAAATGGACTACAGGCTGTAATCCCACCTATAAAGTGGGAGGAGCTCAAGAAGAGGCCATGTGATAGGCTGAAAAAGACTTACCAGAAGTCCAGGCACAGTCACTTGCGTGGAGTCAGGAGCTACGTTCATCTCTTTAGGTGGGACGATGTTGTTCTTGGGGGTGACCCGCACGCGGTAGCCACTAAGCCGGGCGCTGGGGGCTCGCCACAGTACGATGAAGGAGGAGGGGCCCACGTCGCCAAACTGGATGTCAGTGGGGGCGGGAACGGCTAAAGAGGAGAGGGCGGCCAGAATCAGACTACGGTAATGACACAAACAGGTCTAATTCCAGGCTGTGATGAAGGAAATGATAAACAGAATGATTCAGGAATGAAAACCATCTTTAACTGTTAAACAAAATGCTCATTAAACACATTCATTCCCCTCTCTTCATTCAAAAGGCATGGAAAATACTTCAAATACGTGACATGGTTTACATGTGGGACTGTATATCCATACACTGCATATAAATCGCATGAAAAGCCTCCAAACAAAACTTCAAATGAATTTATTAAACAATGTATTATCTAAGTGTGCAGGTCAGTTGAAGCGTGCTTGGTCCTGCCCTTGGACATCAGATATCTTGCGTTTTGTTCAAATGATAATCTGTTAAGAAATGCATTCATTGTACTGTCATTTTCACACTGTTAGGAAATTATTCTTTATCAGCTTCTTACATGTTGAAAATTCTATTTCAAAATATTTTTTCCATTTTTTTTTATATTGAAAGCTCTCGATGCTCAGTAAAGCGGAACACACCTTCGAGTTCTATATCTAAATATATACTTACAGATGAATGCACAAATTACGTTTTATTGATTTTCAAAGGGAAAATAAGTAAAGAGAAAACTCAAACTCACTTATGCAATAAATTTCTGAAAATTTTTCGTACATAATTAAAACGTATTTGCTAAGTTTAACGTAAAGGGAAAAAAAAATGTACATCTAAAATGTGCCATAATTTTTGCACAGGCCAACTTGCATGCATGTATATATACAATATAATGAGACTACACTTTGAAATTATGTAAACAAGATTAAAAACAACAAAAATGCAGATATAAGGATTTGTTCTGAAAGCAATATACACTCTTATATACTACATATAACTATACGCATAGTCATACTATTAAAATTAGCATCAACAATCTCAATATCTCTATATCCATATTGGAAATATTGGTTTATATTTGTTATTATTGTTAGCATTACTCTTTGTCCTGTTTTCATCCTTCATTGTTCTACATAAAGTCATTATTTTTAGCGCTGCATTTAAACTACATGATAATGACGCAGCATAATGACAGTAACAACTGTAAACTTGTAAAAGTTAATGTGTCCTCCAGATACACTAGTGCACTGAGTGTGGACCCCCTCTTCTCACCTGTGGCCTGAGTGCCCTGCAGCGTGGTGCTGGGGCTGCCGCCGCTCATGGCGATCACTCTGACCGTGTACTCGGTTCCTGGACGCAGACCTCGGAGAAGCACGCTGTCGTCATGCCCGCTCGGCGCTGGACGCCACTCCCGCTCTCCCTCCTCTGGGCTGGAGTACAGAACGCGGTAGGAGGTCACCGGACCCAGCGGGACATCCCATGTCACCCTGAGGGAGGTGGTGTCCACATCGGAGAAGGTCAGGTCTTTAGGACGGTGTGCCGCTGTGGAAGAGCAAAGGGGAGACTGTGATTCAGGAACGTTTTAAAATGATAGTTTACCACTTAAAGGCAATGTTCATCTTTTTTATGTCTGCCTAATTAAAGGGTGGAGATGTAAACAGAGTCATTCAGAGTGGTCTGGTGCGAAACGCTCCATTCTAGAGAAACTTACTGAGAAAAAGGTGGTGATAGGAACCAGACGTCCAGCGGTCTTATTTCAGATTTTCCACTATTTTACCATCATCAACACTCCATATGAACTCAGAAGACTCGTGTAGGTTCACTGGTGGTTTTGGATGGTAAATAAAATGTCTATATTTGTGTTGTAGTCATGGCGACCCCTGGGTCCTATCACCACCACTGTAAAGACATCTGAACCATTTCACACCAAACCACTCTGAATCACTCTGTTTACATCTCAAACACTGAATTGTTTAGAAATTTTGGGTGGAATTCACCTTTAATACTTAACATTTTCTCAGAGTGTGACAACATTAATGCTTATAAAGGTTCTTTTTAACAGTAAGGAAGTTTGTGTCAAATTTCAATTTTATGTGGATTTTTCAAGTCTAATTTATTTTTTATTAGTTTTAATCCACAAAATGTACTTATTTGCTGACTTAAACATATTAAAAAGAATATGATATTGATAAGAATTATAAGTTATATTTTATGGTATTTTTTTCACTATGTCTAACTCAGCGAATACAATTTGTATGTTAAAATAAGACTGATTAAAAAAAAAAAGAAACCTGTCTTCATTTAGAAAACCAGCAAAGCATGTTATGTATGACTGTATGTAACTATAGCAGTCAGTATAAATACTGCAACGTACTCTCACTTGTAGTAGCTCTCTCCACCACCGGGGGGCTCTGTCCTTCAGGGCTGAGAGCATAAACACTCAGCACGTATTCCACTGTGGGCTTCAAGCCTGTCACCTGCATCTCCGTCTGATCTGAGAACAGAAGCAAAGCAACATTAATAACACAGTCATTTACATGAACATTAAAAAGTACTTATATATTTAACTACTTATATACTTATATATCACGTATATGTAACTATTATATACTTGTACTACTTGTACTACTATATATAACTAGTTATATACTTATATTACTTACATATTTAACTAGTTATATACTTATATATCACATATATATAAATACTTATATACTTATATATTTATTCTACATATATATATATGTATATATATATATATATATATATATATATATGTTATATTCCTTTTTTATTTATTTAATAATGATCGAAACAACATAAAAGCACACAGAGTCCCTCCAATCAGAAACAGACCTTCTACCAAACGGAGCTATTTAGATGCTGATTGGTTCAAATGCACTAACGAGGACCCGCCTTCCACTAATCAATGAGGCACGCATAGTAATTACCATTTTCTTTAGATTAAGTGTTGTTTGTTTCAATAATGAACTCATACACCGACATCAGCTTCACTATTTACATCATATATACAGTCGTGTGCAAAAGTTTGGGCACCCTGGTCAAATTACTTGACGTTTCGTTAATTTTAGTAAAAATATTTGCAGTCAACACACATCTGCGCATTTTAATGTACAGTTACTGTTATTTTGACAATCAACGTTGGAAATGCATTTAAAGGAAGAGTTTGATGATAGAAACATGGATAGAGACTCACCAGGGCCCACCTCCTTGGTGAAGGAGGGTCCCACTCCGTCTTTAGGGGTGCCCGTGACTCTGTAGCCGGTGATGGGACCTCTGGCAGGGCTCCAGCGGACCGTGAGGGTATTGTCCTGGATGTCAGTCACGTCCAGATCGGAGGGCGACGGGACGCCTGGCGAAGAGAAAAGGATAGACAGAGTGGAAAAGATCAAGAGGAGGAAAAACACACGGAGCAGATTAGAAGAAAAGTGAAGCAATTAGAAATGGTCAAAATTAATAAAGATCTATTCCACCGTCATGGAGTCTAGTTTCCTCAGGTATCATAGATGAAATGAGTGACCTGAGCTGCATTCAGTTCATCTCTGTTAAATAAAGCAGGCATCGTTTCTCTTTTTGAAACTATCAGCACATAAATGTACTCACTCCTTCACTTCAAATGTGCTTCTAGGTCAGTATTATGTACCTCTGTGGAACTTCTACAATAATAAATATCTTATTAGATTAATAGCAAAGTGCGGAACCTCCCCTAAACCATTAAACAAGGACAAACAGTGTCTAAAGCACTAGAAGCACTGAAAGGTGACAACAGCACCCCCTTGTGGAAATCTTCAGGCTGCTAAATGTGAGTTACACTCAGATCTGTGAGGTGCTTCACATGTAAAAATGACTTTTTTTTAATATAAGTGAATATAAAACGCAATGAAATTGAACCCATGTTTGATAAATGACTGAATTTATTAACAATAATAGAAATAACAATTCCTCCGACAAGCAGTGTAGCTCATTAAGCGTATGATATTGTAGCCAAGCAACATCATGGTCGAATATTATTCCATGACCAGCACAGTGGTTTTTAATAACTTGCATTTAAAAAAAACAGAATTCAGTTGTTCTGAATTTAGCTGTTCAGTGTTTTATATTCAGTAATTTACAGTGGCTTTGAAAATGGCCAATCAGGTTTCAGAACAGGTGTCTTTTTTACAGCTGATCTTAGATCTTGACAGTAAACAGGCAATGGAAAACTGGAAAATTCCATATTGAGATTATTTACATTTTTGAAATTCGAGTTAAATTTTCCCAACTTTTGCCATCAAACAGCAGCAATAAAATAAAGCAGATGTGAATACTAGATATGTAAAAAATTATAATGTTATTATATAATAAATAACTATACATATATACACACCCCTCTGTTATACACACAGGAAGACAACTTTAAATAGTAGCCTTCTCTGAAGGTTTGAAAACGGTTAAACAAAATAAACATATTTACTGTCTGTATTCATGTTTTTTGTGTTTTTCTGAGAAAATAAAACTTTTACTGTCCAGACAAAGAGATTTTTAAAAACATTTTTTCTGGTGCCGCCGTCGGTCACGCTAATCATAGAACAACATTCTTCTTCACCGCCTACATGCTTGTGGGTCAGTGTGCTCACCGTCAGTGCCGGTCCTGTGTGTGATGATGGTGGGTGTGCTGGAGGCGGGGCTGTCTCCTCTGCCCGTGACGGCGTAGACGGTGATGGTGTATTCGGTTCCTGGACGCAGGCCAGGGATGGTGGCCGTCGACTCAGTGCCCGGCACTCTGAACTCTTTGGGTGGGCCGCTCTCTCCTGCAGCGCACATCGATTCAGAACCGACGTCAGGGGCCAATTTCAAACCACAAACTAGGATACTAGCTTTTAGTTAAAGCAACTTAATATAAATCATCCTAACAACTTTGTTCTCACCTCAAATGCAGTCAGTTCCATCAACAACAAGTAACGGAAGCTCGTATGCTAATCGAGTTGTAACATTAAATAGACTTTAGAATAAAACTACCTTTATAAATGTTTATGACTGGTTTAACTTTAGCTTATCAATGGTTATAAATTAGGTCATAGACGCCTCAAAAATCATTAATAAGCAATTATAGCATCCAAATAAAAAGGGCAACAGTGATCCGCATTCATTTATACAGTTACACAACAGTTTAAACCTGTCAGCTTCATCAGGTCCTTATATTCATCACATGTAACAACTCACTTTTGCCTTTTATTAATGTGTTTATAACCTAATTAATAACTATGAATAAATTCATTTTAAACCAATCATAGAGCGCTTATAAGGGTAGCCTTATACTAAAGCGGTGCCGACTTGTTTATGTGGTTTCTGACACTGTACAACACACTTATCTGTAAAGAGGAGGCTACTTTTGTCCATTTTTATAGGTCCAGGGTAAAACTGACAAAGGCTACAGACCTGTTTCTCCATGTGTGATCCTGTAGTAGCGCACTGGAATGGCAGGAGCCTCCCAGGAGATGGTGATGCTGTTCGGGGTGGATGAGGTCACCTCCAGGTCAGTGGGAGCATCAGTAACTATGTCAGGACAAAGATAAGTCCAGTTAGATTAGTTTAGAAAAAGTGAAAATTAAGTAATAAAGTGAGCTGAATGGTATTTATTCTAAAAAAAGAAACAATTACTGAGCAAGACATGTTTGGTGATGTTTACAGGAGATAATGAGGCCAACAGCCAAAGTCTACGCAGCTCAAAAGGATTCTCGGTAACACATTTCCATTTCTTATTGGCTACACTGGCCTCGTAGATCCAGGACAATAATTAAAGAGAAAACTATACACCAAAAATCTCTTGGCTGACCAAAAACATTGGGGCCAAAACTTAATCATTCCTTTAATGAGGGCAGTCCTACTATTGAGTGTGATAAATGTTTATGGTGCTCACTGGTGGCCTGTGTGCCGGTCAGTGGGAGGCTCTCCTGGGGGCCGCTGAGAGCATAGATATGTATGATGTACTCTGTCTCGGGGGCCAGGTTGGTCAAGGTGTACTGCGTTCTTGTAGGGGGCAGGCGCTCGTCCTTATAGCGCCCCCCAGTGGTGGGCTGGTAGCGCAGGCGGTAGCCCGTGATGACGGCCCGCGGAGCAATCCAGTGGACGGTGAAGGAGCTGGTTAAAACATCAGAGAAGTCCAGACCGGTGGGGGAGTCCAGCGCTGCAGGGAGAAAATATAGTAACAGTGAATATCCAGCCAGAATGTATATGAAAGTATAGGGAATATATACAGTACCAATATACAGACTGAATGTATGCTTTTTCATAATCCTAAAGCAGTTTTAATGTAAAGGCTTAAGCCTAAAAGCTTAAAATAAGTTACTAAGACAAATTTGATTAAAAGCTGGTGCATATGTTTCCAAAACTATTATTATAAATAAGGAAAATATATTTTATATTTTTATTTTATGCCCTAAACAAGTAGTTTGCATTTAGATCTTTAGTAAAATATAGAGCTGAAAACTGCTGATTATCATAATTACTGAGTGTCTTGTTAATTAATGGAATGTGCATCTTTGTTAATGTGTTTGTGCCAATTAGCTGTGTTGTAATAAATGGTAATGGGTCTTCATAACACATGCATAAGCACTGAATAGCACATTTAAAAAGCAAACCTTATGTATTTATGAACAACTTACATCAGTTTTGACAAAATAAGTTTCATGAAGTATTAAATTAAAGGTATTAAAGGGATGTTTATTCCATTTATAACAGATGTGTATGGTCAAATCTGACTGTAAAAGGAGTGTATGCAAATTTCATGCATGCAAATTACGTATGTGAAGTTATTCATCAGTTCATCTTTGGCTTAACTGTATGATCAAACTCATTAAACTTTAACACTATAGAGTTTGGTCAGTAGGGGGAGCAATGCACTCACAGCTACTGGCTCGCAAGCCATTGAATACTGTTGGTTTATGCTCCCAATCAAAACATCTGCATTAATTTGGGTGTGCCCCATGTAAATGATGTGTAAATGAGGCGCTCCCAGGCTGGCGCTTGAAATTGAAAGTTTAAGAATTAAACGGCAATCTGGTGATCAAATCTGCACTCTTTTTACACAGCTTGGATGAATATGGGTCAATGTCATTTACATTAAAAGCTTCGGTAACACTTTCTATGAATGTCACCTTTGTAAGCATCTATAAACACATTCATAACATGTTATAATGCATTCATAAGGCATTATAAACATAGCTACAAATATTTATAAAAATGCATTATACATTATAGCCATGTTTATTATGTATTATGAATTGTTAACATAATGCATTATAAGTACTGTTCATAACACATTATAAGAGCTCATAAGTTGTATTTGTCCGCTCTAAGTAAAGTGAAGCGTACTGTACTAAAGCCTCCTCCAGTGTTCAGAGTGAGGCTTCAAGTTGAAGTTTTAATGAAGGATTTACTGAAACACTAAAACATTCACAATAAAGCTCATTACAGGCTTCAAATGTCAGAGTTTAAACTAGTGCTGCCATCAGTGTTTTACCCAATGTGGGAAAGGTAATGTTCACCACCGTTAGCTTGGTATTTGTCTTTACTTTACGCTCTCCAAGCTGGGACTGACATCTTTGGCACTGACAGTATAACATGTTATCAACACTACTTATAATGCATTATATTAACAATTCATAATGTATAATAAACATGGCTATAAAGTGTAATTCAGTGTAATTCTTTTTTATAAATATTATAACCATGTTTATAATGCCTTATGAATAAATTATAACGTTATAAATGTGTTTATAGTTGCTTACAAAGGTGGTATTCATAGAAAGTGTTACCAAAGCTTCTTACCTCAGCTTATAAATACTTACGTCATCACTGACATGTATATATTTCTAAATATGTTAAATATGATGCATGTGCATGTCATAAAGTCCCTATGTAGGCAGCCTTCAAACAAAGTGTGTTATTTCATATTTTATTTTAATGTCTTTATTATTATTTAAAAATGTGGAAAACAGCTGGTGTGTCTAAACTTTTGACTAGGACTGTATTTGCATTGAAAAACAAACAAACACACATACTTGTTTTCTGTCTACCGGAGATCGGTGCACTCTCTCTCTCATCGTACACGGACACCACGGTCACCAGGTACTCGGTAACTGGCAGCAGGTCTATATTCGGCGAGAAACATTGAAGAAGAGAGAATAAAAGTGTTACTCTGCACATTAAACATATAATATACAGATAATCAAAATAAAAGACAAAGATCAAATTTAATAGTAAGTAACACTGACGTCTCCTAAAAGCACTTGTTATTCTAAAATGTCTAAAGCAGATCAGCAAACAGAACTGGACTTGGCACATCAACATCATATTCCAATCGGGAATCAGGGAAACCCAAAGAACCTGAGGAGCTGGAAGAACATAAAGAGGAGAATGTCCTCACTTGACAGGAGGAAGGTGTTGGTGGCTCCACCCACATTGACCTCATGAACGTCATCATCGTTGTTGGAGGGGTGGTAGCGGATCACGAAGCGGCTGATCTCGGACGGCTGGACGGAGGGGCGTGTCCATGACACCCGCATGGAGTCAGGCCCCACCTCGCCGAAGTTCAGGTTGGTAGGGGACGGGATGGCTATGAAAGAGAACAAGGAGAACGTCGGGTCCAAGATAAAGGCACCAGTGTGAAGAGGTTCTGATTCCAGGGTGATGCTGGGTGCGACATACAGTAGCAAGCAAAGTGTCAACACTTCCACAACCACATACACTCAGTGGCCACTTTATTAGAAAGCCCTGCCGTTGCTCCACCTGGCTGGTGAACAGTTAGAGACTGGAGCCCAGGGGTCTCCAAGTACTAGCCCATCACAAATTAGAGCTCTGCAAGCAAGATGTGGCATTCGAATGAATACTTGAACCAGCATGAAGGCTGATTAGCCACAACTAACTTAGTTAAATTAGTTAAATTTGCCTACATGGATTCATTCATGTTGACATAGTGTGCCAGAATGATGAAATGAATGGAATTATCAAACAAATCCACTGAAAATGCAGATTTGATAACATTTCACTCACAATAACTTCACTTGAGTTCAGCAGAAAAGCGAGTGCTATCACAATAAGACTCCCATGTATTTCTACTGTTGAATGTTATTTAACTTGATTTAACTGACCACCAAAATATATACTATACACTACATATTTATGCTACTACTAATAAGCAGTGGTTTGGGTGACAGAAGAATTGTTGGCAATAAGCTACAATGAGCTTAGTGGCCATTCTGTGGAACTATAACATCCCAACACCCCCATCCACCGATTCAATGGACTGAAAAGTAACAACAACGATTGTGATCATCTACACCGCCATGGTGCTACCCACAACGACCGATTCCCATGTTGTATTGCTTAAATGACCTGCAGTTTTGGCCATATTTGCTCGTTTCAGAGCAACATGAAGTAGTCCCACTGGACCTTTGGTAGTTATCCACTGAACTAGCCTTAATAAATGAGAAATGAAATAATGGAATTCACATTTCAAATAATTCAATACTGACTAACAGCATTTTTACTTGCTTGAATGTAACTGTAAACACAAACTTGTGAGACTCCTGCTGGTGTGGGTTCACTGAGTGGTAATAAACTACCGGCTGCTAAACATGTATGAGTGAGGTCCACAGCCACATTCACATTACCAGGCATTAATAATGGCTTATAATAATTCCATTATTTCAACAATAAGAGCAACCTTTAGTACTTTTTAGTATTTTTACTTACTTTTAGTACTTTTGGTACTTTTACTTTTTGCAAATATTCTAAAATAGAAGTTTAAAACTGTTCTGTATTAGTTCTCAGTCCCAACTTGACAATTATCTATTTTAAAACATTGGCTTATTGTCAATAACTGCCGATATCTGATTACATTGGCCTTCAAGGCATCTCACTGTAATTCGCTATTGTTTTCCCATATTTGATAATTAAATTTGATAATAATGCTAGCATATAGTACGCCAAGCAAAAGCTGGCTCTTTGTTTCCATTTTCAACGTTTCTAACCTGTTATCAACTGTGTTCCTTAATAATAGGCCAATACAAAAGACTATTCACTGTTTGTTATCTTGCTTGGCACCCGTATCCAACTGTTTACGAACTTCATTGCTAGGCAGGAGAATTATTGTGATTATTGTTCATAAATATGAAACTGGAAATGGGATGTATTTCATCATATTGCATTCTGTCATTATTTTATGAAAGCAAAAGACCAGATTACAGTGATTCAAATGTGTCGAAATCACTGTCTAATTCAAGCAGCCGATGAGCTGTTATAAAACAATGACAAAATGCAATGGCAGAATACATCTTATTGCTTTAATGAGCAATAAAAGCAATACATGTACTGCTCTGTTAAGCTTATAATAAAGCTTAATAAGCTTTAATAAGCTTCACCCTCCTCCTATGAACACATTGAGGATGATTCACCAGGTTGGGTCTGCTGTGTGATGGTCGCGGGCTGGCCCTCGGTTTCCTCGGTAACGGCCGTGACGCTGATGTGGTAATCGATGCCCGGCTCCAGCCCCCGCACCGTATAATATCTGGCGGAGGAGTTCACCGAGTCCTCCAGAAGAGGTAAACTCTCGCCGGCCGCCACCACCGCAATGCGGTAGCCCGTAATGGCCGTGTGATTTAGCGGAGTCCAGCTAATCCCGATGGTGGTGTCGGTCACATCGACGCGGCCGAGGTGTTGCACCTTCGGCACGTCTGGAGCGAAACCATTTTATAAACGCCAACACGTTTATAAAGAGGAAACGAAGAAGAAAAACAAGACAAACAAGCAATGATCATGAGCAATTAGCACTGAGATTTCTGATGCAAAATCACAAGAAAAGTGAACTAGCATGAAACATGCACTAAAGTGTCAATGATTTGAAGATTCAACAACAAACAGCACATCATCCAGCACATAACCATCAGGCGTCATATGCAGGATATGAATGATTATGGGCATCAATTATGTGAAACAGAACATCTAGAACAGCCATGCGTGTTTATGTTTCTAAGGCTCCGTCCACGTGTATCGGGATATTTTTGAAAATGGCAGACTGTTAACTGCATTTACCGCAGAACTCTGTCTGCAATATGACTGACGACCGTGTTGTTTCTATGTTTATTATATGAAAATGTTATTAATATTAAAAGTATCTCAATGATTCTTAAGATATATGGCTTGGTCATTAACCAAAGTCATGTTCGAAATGAATTCTAAATCCATAATTCAAATGGGAAGAAAAGCCACATATTTCAAGCTTTTGTTTTCTGGCAGGAAACAGACTTTGAATATCTTATGGAGATGTGACAGCTCTACTGTACTTGCTGTCACATTGTTGAAAACTGAAAATATCCAGATACCTGTGGACGAGGACTACGTCTACGATTATTTAAAAAAAAAAAAACAAAAACAAAAGGACACCAAAGGCGTACTGTCAGATTAGAAATTTGTGAAATAATGATGTATAATGCACACTTAAAGCAAGCATTTTGTCAATATTGCCTGCTTAAAAACTTTACCTTCAGTGCTCTTTTGAAGACAATCAAGTAATTCACATAACATTCAGAAACAATTCAGCAAAGGCAATGGAAAAGTGAGTGGAGGCAGCCAGAATTAGAGATGATTGATATAGCAGAGGTGATTGGTGGCTACTGGATGTTCGCGAGGCTCGACCGGCCACAAATTGTCATTAAAAAAGTTCAATTTACGCCGTTCCCAACCTTACACCAATTGTAGTCAACTTGCCAAGGCACGGTTGTGTCTGAAGTTTGCTTGTTTGGTTTTGCACTGGCCCTATGAGGCTAATTTAGCAAGTAATGGAAGCGTAGCATTTGCAAGTTAGCATTAGCTGGTTATCTCTGCCTTAAACAGACTCTAATAGACTTGACTATGTGGTTTCTTACACTGTACAATGTACAGAGCATAGCTAAAACCAGCAGAAGCCATCTTGAAGCCTGAATTTTGTCCACTATGTAACACTAGTGAAAGCAAGTCTGTTTATGCTAACGCTAACTGGTGTACAGAACTTTCCATTAGCCATTAGCGTGGATGTGTACATGAGTACTTGGTTAGCCGCTTGAGGTGCTAGTACTCCAACACTGAAATCTATTGAAGTTTCATTACAAGAGATGGAGAAAATATACAGACTAGCAATTCAGTGAAATGCGGATTTTGTTTTAACAGCACTGTAAATCTGACAGTTTTGCTCATATTTGTGACTAAAGTACGTATGATATATTGCACTATGCTTTTATGAACCATTTGCACCTTAACCTGTACTGGTTTTCAAGGATTCACTAAGTGAGAAGGCGGCGATAGCATGGCTTTAATGCTAACTAGGCTAGCTACTCTAGCTGAAGTTAGCTAGGTCCAGAAACAGTGAAAAGATATTTCTCTGAGAAGCTAATGCTAACATGTTGGCACATCATCCACTGAGCCTATTGTGTAGAAACAGTCCAACCAAAGTTAGGTCTAGTGTTAGCTTGTTAGCTCTTCTGAAGGGGCAGCATCCACCATGAAACCAACTCATTTCCCTCAACTATTTTTAAAAAAATAAATGTGGACATTTTGAGCAACACAGTGGTGTCACTTAAAAAGGCAAACCTGCCTTGTAGCCTCGTAGCTGCAGCGCAAAACCGAGGAATTAAACTCAACACTAAACATGTCTCGGCTAATCGGCTACATTTGCGGAAAAGCTTGTGTACATTGTGGGAATGTCATTTTCCCCTCAGGCTTAAAGTGAAGTCACTCTAGTTTCCAGGTTTGTTTGAAGCGTTTGCGGCAGTGAGGAATAGTTTCCTGGCTGAGCAGAGCTCCGTTTCCGAAACGCAGGATCTTAAGAGGTCTCCGAGTGTTGGAACCTTCACGGAGCTGTTTTATGGGAGCTGGAGAAGATCCAGACTGTGACTTTGGTTTGGAGAGCGGGACTGGTGTTTGATATTGCTCCAGAACACAGGAGGAAACGCTAACACGCATTGCCTCCAATGCGCACACGCACACACACACACATACAGTACACATACAACTGTGTGCAAAAGTTTGTGCACCCCAGTGAAATCTCAGTAGATCTTGTTGATTTTCTAATAAGTTCTAATAAATGAACATCCTCTACAGAGAACACACTTTTACACATTTTAACACACAATTACTGTTTATTTGCTGCATTTAACATGTTTAAAATATGGCCTGTGCAAAAGTTATGGCACCTTACCCATATTATTATATATGTACATAATGCATGTATGCATATTTTTACCCCAGTATAACATATAAAATATAAGTAGAAACTTAATAAATATGCTAAACACAAAAAAATAGAAACTGTGCACTAAAACTAGCAGCAAAATGTCATATTTAAGTTTGTTCTCTGTGAAAGATGTGTCATCTTATTAAAAATATATATATAAAATAATATATGTAATTGGACAGGGGGTGTTCAAACTTTTGCATACGGACAAAAAATCAGAACATTATTTTTTCTGAAACATCAACATTCATATTTTAGAGTCATTTTATGTTTGTATAGCTTTTATATAGTGAACCCCTGCTGATGTATATGTACCCTACAATGTGTATGTAGCCTTCCTTTAAAAAAAATATTCTGCACTATATTAAACAGATCGAGAGGAAGATTACATTACATCAGACAGGAATACATGCTAACGGACGAAGGACCTGCCATTAATAATGACAGTTCATCATTACTGATATTAATTCTAAGCCGGTGGGCTTAGATTAGTCTGACTGATATGAACACTGAGACAGGCACTATTGGTGCTGTATTAGTGTGACTTTATCTGACATAGATAAACATTTATATCAGTGTAGACCAGGCATGTCAAACTAGGGACCTGCCAGGCCAAAGTGCAGGGGAGATCAGCGTTTACCCTCATCTAACACACTGAGTTCGGTTCATGAAGGCCTTGCTAATTAGCTGGTGAGCTGAATCTGATGTGTTTAATGAGGCAGTGAGCTGAGGCCCGCGAGGACTGGAGTCTGACACATGTGATATAGACACTATGCAGTACAGCAGCCTGTTCCTGGTTCGGATGTAGAGTGGACAATGTACTTTAACAGTGAGTCAGCACTGCTGATTGAGGATCAGGTCTTACCCTGAGTGACCGTGGCAGAGATGGGCTCGCTCTCCAAGTGGTCTTTAACTGTGTAAACGCTGACGTTATACTCCACTCCTGGACTCAGGTTCTCCAGAGTACAGGACGTCTGTCCACCTCTCACAAACTCCTCCAGAGAGTTCCCCCGCTGACCGTTAGTGGGAGTGCAGGTCACCCGGTAACCAGTGATATCTGAGAGAGAGAGAGAGAGAGAGAGAGAGAGAGAGAGAGAGAGAGAGAGGATAAATATTACACAGAGAGAGAGAGAGAGAGAGAGAGAGAGAGAGAGAGAGTGAGAATACATATTACACACAGAGAGAGGATAAATATAAAAGAGAGAGAGAGAAAGAGATACAGAGTGAGAGAATAAATATTAGAGAGAGACAGTGATAGAGAAAAGACAGGAAGACAGAGAGACAAGAAAAAGTAGAAGAAAGAGAATAAATATTAGAGAGAGTGAGCGAGAGAGATAGAGATACAGAAAAGAGAGAGTGAGAGAGAGACAGAGAGAGAAACAAAACAATGGACAAAGGGGAGAACGAAATAAATAAATAAATAAAGAAAGAAAGAAAGAAAGAAAGAGAATCTTGAGGGAAATGAGGAGGTAACAGTGGAGACTCCAGGTCAGGTCACTGTCAGTGGTCAGACTTTGGTCACAGTGGTGAGACGGCCGGGCGGTCAAGGTGCAGTCAGACTCAGAAAGAGAGTCAATATTTACCGGGCGTTTGAGTGCCGCGCCACCTCACTCTGAGCTCGCCGGTGTCTGGGCTCGAGATCAGGTTCAGGTCAGTCGGTGGAGACAGAGCTGCGGTCAGCAGAAAATTGAACAGGAGAACAGAAGAACAGGAGAACAGTGAGGAACAGTGTTATTATTCATATGCAAACAGTTACGCTCAGAGCTGTGGACTCTAAACTGGACCTACATTCATGCTTTATATCAACTAACAACACAGTGCAGTTCATCAGACTCAGTTACAGTTCAGTTCGTCTGACTCAAGCTATACGCGGGAAATGCTGGATACCTTTCAAAATAAGAGCACATCGCCAGCCAGTAAAACAATCCCATAATTACCATAATCAAATCCACTTGTGATTAATGGGCATTTGTGGTATTTTCAAAAAAAAATATTGCAAAAATATTGTCTGCTGGGAGGGAGAAGAAGTCTAGCCATTCATTCACAACAGCCCAAACCAATGGGACAGTTAGCCAGCAAGCTAATTTCAGGGATGAGAGTATAAAAGGTTGCAAGTTAGAGGAAAAGGGCAAAGTAAAAGTCCCTTTTTTATTTAAACTTGTTATATATTCTTGCTCAAACTGAAATTACTATTCAGATAATTCAGAAAACGTATATCGACGCTGAGTGCGTTTACATGCACTCAAAAATCCAATCATAATCGGATTTCTGCAGTTATCTGATTATTCAAATGGTCTCGCAAACAGCACACTCATTTCTTAGATCAGAGTAAGGTCTAGAAATCCGATTAAGAAGTCCGATAAAGAGGCTGGATTTTAGCTCAGTAATCAGATTTCTCAGAGCATGTGAACTCTTACTCTGATTTCTTTCGGATTTCTCAGTCTGCGCATGTGCAAAGACAGACAGCCGTACTGGAAATAAGCAAGCAGTGTTGCTGCGAGACGCAGCCAAACACTTTTACAGCGACGCTGAAACCAAATTCATGTTTGACGACATTAAGGATGTAAATATTCTTCATCTTCTAGATGATCTATGTTTATACTTTTAGGGAAAGTAGCGATGTTTTAAAGAAAAAAGCTGTGGCATGAAGTTCGAGTTTTACGTTAAGTTTACGTCACGTCTTCTTCTGTTCTGAGTTTATTGGCCGGTTGCAAAGCAGAAATCTGATTATTGTCTGACTCATGCAGACCCAGAGTTTTTACATTATCTGATTAACTCAAGTGCATGTGAACGCGTCAATCAGATTACTGACAAAATCTGATTTTCTGCAGTTATCGGATTATTAAGTGCATGTAAACGCAAAACCTTATATCCTCAAAATGGTAACACATGAAACTACCAATGGATCACATAAAACTCTTTTTTCTTTCATTTTTTTTTTTTTTTTACATCAGTCTTTAAGGGACAGTAACAAAACCTCTTAGGAGTAAAAAGAGATTGGAAACAATATAAATAAACATGCTTAAATATGGAAATACAAGGTTTCATTACAGCAGCATTAAAATGATCGGTAGTTATTCATATTGGATGATATTCAAATTGCCATATTTAGCCATATTTAGCACGAATGCAGTCAACAAGTCTGCAAATGTCTAATAAAAGTAACCAGAACTCGTTTCTGGGGAAAATACTTACGTGTGACAACAGTGCGTGTGATGGGGCTGCCCTGCTTGCGGCCGCTGACGATGGGCTGGACGGAGTAGGTGTACTCCACTCCAGGGGTGAGTCCGGAGACGTAGATGCTTCCGGAGCCGGAGGTCACGTCTCTGGGCGCTTCGCCACCCTGACTGGGCCTGACAGACAACTGAGAGAAACACAAACATGTCAAGGAATGACATCCGGACTGGCGTAGGCGGGTGAGTGAACCAGCATTCATAGGAGAGGCGAGGTGTTTACTTTGTAGCTAAATCGTGGAACAGGAGTCCAGGAGATGACGATGGAGGTGTCGGTGACTTCTGTGGAGAAGCGGGGAGCACTGCCCATTGGCAGAGCTGAGGGAGGAGAAGAGACAGAAGAAGTTGTTGAGCTACGTAACTCCTTCATAAAGCAAAGTGTAAATCAGCAAATTCAAGCCTTTAAGTCTTAAAGACATCTCCAACTTCAAAACTGCTAATATAGATAATTATTATAATTAGCATTATGCCACGTTTACCAGCCTTTTTTAAATGCAAAGTCTCTAAACTGCTCATGCTAATTGCTGACTGCCACCAGTAGCTTTCACTGACACCTACTGGCCACTTTGTTAGAAACACCTACCATATAGCTCCACTATAAACGTACTTAAAAATTATGGTTCTTTAAGTTTTTGTAAAGAAAATGAACAAACACCCAAAGAACCCTTTGCATGATTAAATGGTTCTGTGCATCGTGAAAGGGCTCTTCAGATTGATGGAGAATGTGCTGCAGATGGTTCTATATAGAACCTTCTGGAAAAGGGCACCAAAAGGGTTCTTCTATTTTTACAAGCTTGATATCATCACAGTAGAAGAACCCTTTTTGGTGCTATATAGAACCATCTACAACACATTCTCCATCAATCTGAAGAACCCAATGCATTATTATGAGAAGGGTTCTTTGAGTGTTCATGGTTCTATACAGAACCATTTTCTTTACTAAAGAACCCTTGAAGAACCGTCATTTTTAGGAGTGTAGGTGTACAATTACTGTAACCATCTGTAGACCATCTGTTGTCATGAACAACTGATTACCTCCTAACCCATTCATCACGGGTCAGTTTGTGACCACAAGGCTTCTCCACTACACAAAAAATATCCAGCCTAGAGCAGCTCTATGGTCAGAAACTGACCACTGATGAAGAGGATGCCTGACACAAGCTGTGCATCAACAGATGGGCTACTGTTTATGACTGAACACCAACAAGGTGGAGCTCCAAGGGAGGGGTTTCTGATGAAGTTAGCATTTCTGGTTGAACTCACAGGTGGTGAAGGTGCCCCTGACGCCCTCGCTGAGGGTGCTGTCCTGCTCCGAGTGCAGGACGACGATGTAGTCCTTGTCTGGCTGCAGGCTGTGGAGAGTGTACTGAGACTCATGGGGTGAAATCCTCAGATGTTTGTGGGCGGAGCCCTCGGTGGTGATGAAGAGGCTGTAGCCCGTGACCTGGGCTCGGGGAGCGGACCAGATGACCAGAGCACTGTCCTCCGTGATGTCAGTGAAGCGCAGGTCAGTTGGAGCGTCGGGTTCTGAGGAAGCACAGAGGTTAAGGGTGAGATGTGAGCGCGATGCCACCTGTTCCATATAACGCGTAACTTCATTTGCATGTTGTTGTCATTATGAGAAAACAGTGTAACCCCAGCTGCCCTTGATATTAATCAGCATTTAAAATGAATGGACCAACAGAAAGAAAGAAATCTGTCTACATCATTTTTGAGGGAAAGCTATATTCTGTATTCTAAGGCTACTTTTGGGTTGACCATTCAACCAATGCTACATCGCAGCTATGATGCAGCCTGGACTATCCGCTTAAGTGGCCCTGTATCGCAGCTCTGAGGCTGCCTGGACTGGTCACCTGTTTGACCCAACATCACAGGTATGTGGGACTCCCCTCAGCCAGCTGTGAGACCTCTGGGTGTGTGTGTGTGTTGTTTCGTTTATATGTTGATTATGTACTCTGTTACATAACAAAGTGTAAGGGGGAGGTTGCTGGAGTTTATCCCAGCAGCCATTGGACGGAAGGCAGAAAACACCCTGGACAGGTCACCAGTCCATCACAGGACAGACACACAGACACATACATTCAGACATACATTCACACCTAGGGGCAATTTAGCATCTCCAGTCAGCCTGACCGCATGTCTTTGGACTGTGGGTGGAAACCGGAGTACATGCAAACTCAACACAGAAAGGACCCTGGCTGCCCGTCCGGGGAATCGAACCCAGTTATTAATAAAAGTCAATATTGCTTTGAATGGCTTGCAATATCTCATAAATATTTCAAGCCATTCATGCTATCAGTATTAGCTGCGGAGCCTCTCAGCTTGTAGCGAGGACCGGACCCGAGAGCACGGCGCCACCTGAAGCAGCTGTGGTAGGCAGAGCACGATAAGCTGGCTAGTCTTCAGCCTAGGCTAATGGCTAACGGCTAACCCAAAGAGACTGACAAAACGAACACCTTAAGAGGAATTTCAGCTGCTGTATGAACCGGTATATCGCCCACTACGACATGTATATGTGTTTGCATTGATCTGCATGTGCGTCCACTCACTGGTCCTCTGGTCTCCCACCAGTGGCTGGCTCTCCACTCCTCCGTGGACGGCGTAGATGTGGAAGCGGTAGAGGGTGCCGGGCTGCAGTCGCGTGATCTCGGCGAAGGCGTTGTGCGTGATAGGAAGCTGCAGCGCTCTCTGGGGTCGGTCATCGGGGGTCACGGGTTCAAAGGTCACTCTGTAGCCCGACACCTCGCTCGGGGGGCCAGTCCAGGTGATGGTGATCTTAGTATCGGTCACTTCGTAGAACTGCAGCTCGGTCGGCGCAGGGATCTCCTCTGCGGACGAGGAAGGCTTAGGTCAGTTATTCAGCCGTGCATTGTCCTGTGCAAAAGTCTTGGCACCCCGGTCAGATTACATTACATTTTGCTGATTTTCGGTAAATAAGGTCTACTAGAGGACGCACTGCTGCAAATTTCATATTTCATAAGTCATTTTTTCCCCAACAAATAAAGAGAAATTGTGCAGTAAAATGAGCAAAAAATACCATATTTATATTTTGAAAATGTGTTTCCACTTATTTTTCACTTAGAAAATCAATCACATCAAAATATTATGACCAAAAGGTGCTATGGCTTAGTTTCCTGAACTTTTGGTGAGAAACAGAGTGATTTTTGTTTTGAAAGCTTAGCTGAAGAGGAGATGTAAATGCAGCAGGAAGGTGGTCCTGTGAAGAATGAAGGCAGTTTAACGATCCACAAATGTAATAAATCGTAATAATTTCAAAACAGTGCAGAACAGACTAATGATCTCATATTAAGGCTTCTGGGTTATAATATATTGTAAAGCATTGTGCAATATACATCAACAATATCACAATTAGGTGTGCAGAAAGAGAGAAAGAGAGAGAAAAGAGGAGAGAAACAGACGAGCGTGAGGTGAGAGGAGCCAGTTGGACAGATTTTAAGGAAAAGAGCAGTGTGTCCGTATAAGGCAGCGCTGGACAAAGCTGCCCTCTAAATCACACGGCTGCCTGTCTGAGGCAGAGAACTGGCTCTCGCCTCCACATGTGACAGAGAAACAGAGCTCAGCCGCCAAAACTGCTCAGAGAAAAACAGACCAACAGCTAAACTCAGTGGGCTGCCTTAAAATACAATGTGTCTTTAAAAAGAATTGATCAGTACTGACACTGTACTTTACACACAGCTCAGCTGAGTCATTTTTTTTATGGTGATATTTTTTTCTTATTTTGTCTACAATAATAAATTACACAGTGTAGATTTTCTACACAAAGTTTTTAAAGGCATGTATTATAAAAACATTATTTCAGACAAGTTGATACATAATATATTGTCATTTTCTATCATTTTTAACGGTAGTTTCTGCTCATCTGCCTCAAGATTTTGTCTTTTTAAATACGAGGCAATCGTGAAATAGAATTTTAAAATAACATTCGGGTTATTAAATTTATTACAACTTCATTCTGGATTTGGATAAACATTCTAGATAATTCTGATATTAATTTCATTAGAACTTCATGCTAGATATTAATTTTATTTTAAAAAATATTCTGGATTGTTGTGGATATTAATTTATTTTATAATTCCATTATTAACGTTTATTCATTTATTCAAAAAAAGAATTTGGGGATAAATCTAATTTTAGTATAACGTCATTCAATTAAATGTAATTAAAAAATACATTCTGGATAATTCTGGATATTAACTTTAGCGTAACTTCAATCTACATATTAATTTTATTCTACTAAATGATTTCTGGAAAATTCTGGTTATTATTGTTATTATAACTTCATTCTAGATCTAAATCTTATTCTAAAATTCTCAGGATTCATTTATTATCATAACTTAATTCTAGAGGCAGATTTAACTGTACAAATATGAAATCTGCATATCAATGTTATTAGAATTATATTTTTGATTTTAATTTAATTCCAAAATCTACAAAATACTGGATCATTTTGTCTATTCGTTTTATTATAGCTTGATTTATAATTTTACTTTTATTCTACAAAAAATGATAAGTCTGGATAAATATTAATTTAAGTACAACTTCATTGTAGAATTTTATTTCTTGAAAAAAAAATCCTGGATAATTCTGGATATTAACTTCATTCTAACGTAATTTTAGATCCTTATCCTTAATTAATTAATTTTATTTTTACTATAACTTCATTCTGAATCTTACTTTGATTGTCAAAAATAAATTCTGGATAATTTTAATTTATTAAAACTTAATTCTAAAAACTTTTTTAGAATTTATTTCATGATTTTCTACAGCTTTTTCAGTCACTGCAGAATCATCCACAGCTCTATTCGTCCTTCTGGACACGTCTAATACTTCCTTGAAAGCCGTGTTGAAGTAATTAAGCCACTGTGCGGAACCTGTTATGTAAATGTACACTGTGTGTCTGCTAATGATGTTTTGGTGATCAATTAAAACTGTACTTCAGGAAAACATCATCCAAATCCTAAATTTGTTGGTTCTCAGTTGAATATCACGTATTTCTGAATGTGCCTGCTGACTAAGCGATTTGCCCTTCATGCAGATGACTGATATCTTACCAGGCTGTGGTTCTCCAGCAGTGCTGACCTGCAGGACCACCGGCTCGCTCTCCATGCTGTCCTCCACAGCGTAGATGGTGACGTTGTACTGCGATCCGGGCCGGAGGTCGGCCAGGGTTACAGAGGTCACCGTGTCAGGCAGAATGAGCTCAGTGCTGCTACCCTCCACGGACGGGGCGTAGACCACACGGTAACCTACACGCAAACACAGCCACATTCACCACAGACTCACTGTTCACTCTCCACTGTTCTCTTTATAAAGACTGGCACTAAATATTCTACAGCCCCATTTCCAAAAAAGTTGTTCTTTAAAAAATATATGCCCATTTTAAATTTGATGCCAGCAACACGTTCCAAAAAAGTTGGGACGGGGACATGTTTACCACTGTGCTGCCTCACCTCTTCTATTAATAACACTCTCTAATACTGAAGTGTAAAATCTGAAGGGACACTTCTCCACTTCCCCTCAGTCCATTTTAAATGAGCTCGGGCCCAGAGTAGGTGGCAGTGTTTCTGGGTCCTGTTTATATTTGGTTTCTTCTTTGCATTTCAGAGTTTTAATTAGCATTGGTGGATGCAGCGACAAACTGTTTTCACAGACAGTGGTTTTCAGAAGTGTTTCTGAGCCCATGCAGTGATTTCCACTACAGAATCATGTCTGTTTTTAATGCAGTGCCACCTGAGGGCCCAACGATCACGGCCAGCAAATACTGGTTTTTGGCCTTGTCCCTTACATACAGAGATTTCTCCAGATTCTCTGAATCATTTAATGATATTATGTACCATAAATGACGAAAGCAAAAGTTCTTTGCTATTTTATGTTGAGAAACGTTATTCTTGAATTGTTGCACTATTTGATCGTGCTGTCTTTCACAGAGTGGTGAACCCCTCCTCATCTTTACCTCTGAAAGACTCCGCCTCTCTGAGATGCTTTTTTATACCCAATCATGTTACTGACATTACACACATTTATCAGATATTTTGCTCCTGTCCCAACTTTTTTGGAACGTGTTGTTGGCATCAAATTCAACATGGGTATATACTTTTCAAAAAAACAATAAAATTTCTCAGTTTCACCATTTGATATGTTGTGTTTGTACTATTTACAGTTAAATATAGGAGTTAAATGATTTACACATCATTACATTCTGTTTTATTTACATTTTGCACAGCGTCCTTTTTTGGAAATGGGGTTGTAATACAAACTACATTTATTCTGCAAAAGAAGAAAGTTCTGCTCCTACCGGTAATCGGAGCCTGTGGTCTGTTCCATGAGATCACAATGGACGTCTCGTCAACGCCCGTCACCCTGTGGTCAGTAGGAGTGTCAGGAGCTGTGAACAGAAAGAGAATTCAGCTCAACTGAAACAGAATCAGCTCAAAATATGACAAAACTGCAAAACCAAAAATTACTGAATACGTGACCTATTCAAAAATAATTTAAAATAGACTTCATGTAAAACAATAGGTTACAGATAACCGTTAAACCTCTTTAAATGTCCCCAGTGTACGATATATGTACACCTGGCATCTTTTCGTTTTATGGTGCTGTCCCATAGACGCACATAACGTTGCAGTGCATGCTGGGGATTGTAGTGCAGCTCATGGTGAATTGGGCTGATATTAACAGATAATTTAAATAATTTCATGGGCCGAATAGGACTGTGTCATGGGCCTAACTAACACTTCTCCCTACCCCTCCATCTCAATAAACATCAGGACACCCTACCCCTAGACAAGAACACACAACACGGAGGGGTAGGGCTAAGTGGTAGGAGCGAGGGGTGAAATGGAATTGGGTCTCTGTGGTTACTGAATAATAAGCCTTTGTATGTAGTAAGCCTGGGATGTTAAGGAGTTAAAGTACTATAGTGTATACACCTCTACTGAGTGTATGTGCTGGTATAATGACAATAAACTTTAAGTGAACTGAATTGGAAACAGTGCCCCCTAGTGGAGGAAGCCCTAAAGAAACAGTTTAGACAAAATGGAATTGCAATGAATAAAACTGTATCAGTTAGCGTTATACCAGTGATACACTGCTAATTGGTGGCTGCTAGCTTCCACTCAGCACTAGCCATGATAGCATTTTTACTGGCCCTGTAACCACCAATAAATGGACTGATACACACCGGTGGTCTGCGTGGTGGTCAGGATGATGTTGTCCTCTTTCCCTGGCTGAATCTCATACACTTGAACGTTGTATCTGCGTCCAGGCAGGAGGTTGTCGATGTTGACCGACGTGGCCGTGCGCGGGAGTTCTGAATGACACAATATCCTGTTGTTAACATGTATTGGCATGTAATACGGTACGAGTTTAAAAGGCTGACATTATGTGCAGGCGTGGCTCACCGATCACTTTGGGTGTGGCTCCTTCCTCAGACAGCTCATACTCCACTCTGAAACCGGAAATAGTGTCGGAGGCGGACACCCAGGAGATGACGAAGCTGCTGGAGGTGATTTCAGTGACCGACTCTGAGGTGTCCACCATGCGGGGAGGCTGAGTGGTCTCACCTTCAGTGGGAATCACTAGAGGAGGCGGAGGAATGAAGGAAGATGTGCTTCATTCCATTCATTAATCGCAGATATTTAGATTTAGAGGACTGAGGACAGAAAACGCTGCTAGAAGAAGCCAGAGTAAAAACACCCTAGAAGAGAGAAGAACAGAAGAGAAGGGAAAAAAGGATGCAAAAGCAGAAGAAAAGACTCCAAGAAAAGATGAGAAGAGAAGAAATAGAGGAGAAAAATGAAAGGAAATTAAAGATGAAAAGATGAGAAGAGAACAGAAGATGAGTAAGGGAAAGAGAAAAGAAAAAAGACTAGTGAAGAAAGAAGAAAATATAGAAGAAGTGAAGAGAAGGAAAGGGAAGACGAGAGGGGAAGAAAATAGGAGAAGAGAGGAAGAGAACTGAACACAGAAGAGAAAAGAAGAAAACAAAAGACTAGAAGAGAAGAGAAAACACAAATACAAGAGAAGACGAGACAAGACAAGAAAAGAGAAGACAGATAAAGAGAAGAGAAGACAAGAGAAAACAAGAGAAGACAGATAAAGAGAAGAGAAGAGAAGACAGATAAAGAGAAGAGAAGAGAAAAGAAGAGAAGACAGATAAAGAGAAGAGAAGACAAGAGAAAACAAGAGAAGACAGATAAAGAGAAGAGAAAAGAAGAGAAGACAGATAAAGAGAAAAGAAGAGAAGACAGATAAAGAGAAGAGAAGAGAAAAGAAAGAAGAGAAGACAGATAAAGAGAAGACAAGAGAAAAGAAGAGAAGAGAAGACAGATAAAGAGAAGAGAAGACAAGAGAAAACAAGAGAAGACAGATAAAGAGAAGAGAAAAGAACAGAAGACAGATAAAGAGAAGAGAAGAGAAAAGAAGAGAAGACAGATAAAGAGAAGAGAAAAGAAAACAAGAGAAGACAGATAAAGAGAAGAGAAAAGAAAAGAAGAGAAGACAGATAAAGAGAAAAGAAGACAAGAGAAAACAAGAGAAGACAGATAAAGAGAAGAGAAAAGAAAAGAAGAGAAGACAGATAAAGAGAAGAGAAGAGAAAAGAAGGTGAAAATCCACTTACAGGAGCCATAGGAGGTGGTGAAGTCGAATCTGGTGACCTCTCTGCGACCGGAGCGAAGGATGCTAACGAGCTGGCCCTCGTAGGTCAGACCAGGCTTGAGTCCTGAAATGGTGTAGTAATTTACGTGGCCAGGAATGATGACCTGTCTCCACGGCTGACGCGTGTTTTTCTGGAAAAGAAAAAAGAGCATTCAGAGAAAATCAGCAAGGCCAGTCAAAATCAACAGACCGTGTTCCAGCACTGTCAGATCCGATCCCCGCTGAGATGATCAGGATACTGCACATTTTCCACTGTCTGGGCGATATTTGGGTCTATTTCACATATTTACTGTGAACCTGTTTCCAACTTGTTCGAGATTCATTCATACGTTTTTCAGCAAGCTCTACAATGTCCAACACAACCAAGCCCGGGAGCCAGGAACTGGCCCCTGATCTGAGCTTTTAGGCCTGTATGTGTAAACAAACATTTCCTACACTGCTTAACAAACAGCACCTCTTATTAAAGTCAGACCGCTAAGATGAATAAACAGACTCGGCTGAAAACCATTTCCTTAAAGCAAATTCTACACACATCAAATGGACGGCTGTCTCTTAACTAGCCGTGTGTGTGAAGTTCAAGGACAGGGGCTTGTTTGGACGTGGCGAAATTTCATCCCGTCCTGTACTTGTACCTTTACGCAAACATCAGCTGAATGTTTGCTGTCCAGTTTAAGTAATGCTTGTTCTTAGGGCTAAAATTCGAAGAACCTTAATGACGCATACATGTGCATATTATAAATAACACAGTGAGCACTATGGCCAGTCACATTGATAAACCCACTGAACTATTCCATCCAGTCATTGTACATCTGCAAACAGTAAAAAAAAAAGAGAAAACTACAGTGGGCCACATGTAGAACCCTGAGGAACCCCATAATAAGTGTAGAAACTCTTGTTCGCTAAGATTCAAACAACCTTAGCAACGCATTCATGCACATCTAAGAGCTCTCAGTAATGTTGTTGTTATTATTATTGTTTTTTATTAGAAATACCACCGCTCTAAAATTCATGTCTACAATATTGAAAAGATGTGTTGCCAACGGTAATGTTAATAACCTTGTATGTCGTCCAGTCCTCGTGCACTTGCAAACAGTAAAAAAGAGAAAACTACAGTGGGCCACAAGTAGAACCCTGAGGAACCCAATAATAAGACAGCGTGAAAACAAACATAACTCTTGTTGCCAGCGCTAAGATTCAAACAACCTTAGCAGCACATCCATGCATACCTAAGAGCTCTCAGTAATATTGTTGTTATTATTATTATTATTATTATTATTATAAATATCACTGCTCTAACATTCATATCTACAATATTGAAAAGAAGTGAGACAGATGGTAATGTTAATAACCTTGTATGCCATCCAGTCCTTGTGAACTTGCAAACAGTAAAAAAGAGAAAACTACAGTGGGCCACATGTAGAACCCTGAGGAACCCCATAATAAGACAGGGTGAAAACAAACATACAACTCTTGTTATTAGCGCTAAGACTCAAACAACCTTAGCAACTCGTCCATGCACATCTAATAGCTCTCAATATTATTATTAATAATAATAAAAAATATTATCAACATAAATATTACAGTGAGCTCTAAAATTTATGTCTACAAAATTGAAAGGATGTTACAGACATTAATGTTAATAAACTCATGTGCCATCCAGTCATTGCACACTTGCAAACAGCAAAACAGAAAAAACTACAGTAGGTCACATGTAGAACTCTGGGGAACCCCATAATAAAACAAAACATTGTGTTTAGTGCTATGATTCAAACAACCTTAGCAACACATACGCATGCATGTAACAGCTCTCAGTATTGTGAGTATTACAAATATTGCACTGATAATGATATCTAGAAACATCAGAAGGATGCATGGCATCCAGTAATGTTAATAACTCATAACTGTGCCATCCAGTCCTTGTACACCTGCAAACAGAGATAAAAGAGAAAAAAAAAAGAGAAAACTGCAGTGGGCCACATATAGAACCTTGGGGAACCCCGCAATATGAAAGGACATACATACCACTCTCCACTTGAGAATGTACTCGACAATGTGGGCAGTTGAAGGGGGATTCCACTGGATGGGGTGAGAGTTGGGCTGGTTTCCTGTCTCGGTGATGATCACGCGGACTGGAACTGTTGGGTGAAGTTATAAATATGATTAGCATAAAAACGCAACCATAGCTGGACTCGTTGTCTGCTAATGTGTGCTCCTGCTTCCACTGAGGCTTGTGTATCATCCAAGAGAGATGGACCAGATTAAAGTCCCACAAGAGAAAGCAACAAAGCAGGGATAACAGTCCAGATGTTGCTTCATAAGAAAACAGTTTGATATGATTTATGCTACATCACTTTTCCTGGCCTGATGGCTCCATCTCAGAGTTCATGTAATACTGAAATAATAATTGGCCTTCAATGCTATTGCCATTTTCTGTTTTACATGTTTATATATTTATGTTGCAGGTCATAGAACAAGTTGGTAAAAGATGCTAAGAATTCTTCACATTGACTTAGCACTAAAAATTATATGTCCTTCCAACCCTGGCTGTCCAGCGTCGATTACGCACCTGCTCAGACTCTGACACAGCTGGGAGCAATTTAAAAAATGAGCCTAGTTTGAAAGATACTAAACCTCTGGCTAACATGCAACACCCTGTACTGTTTCAGAGCATAAAAAGTCTTACATTGAGTTATTTTAGGTCCACCCAAACACAGCTTAACCTGAAAGCACATGTTCACAGTGTCCTTTCCCTCAGAAAGGCCAGATAATCATTTACAGACGGTTATCAAATACTGTTGCAGATATTATTGACAGGTCCTGAACACATGAACCATATTAACAGTTTAAGAGGCTAAACAACAAAAATAGACATAACTGAAAAGTAAAAAAAAAAACTATGGAAAGCTTTACAAAAAAATCCAAAATACTTTCAAAAAGTCTAAGTGTACATTAAGGTGGCAGGAGATTTAAGGTGGCAGTGGATTTAAGGTATAGGTAAATGTAAAGAGGCAGTGAATTTAAGGCCACAGTGGATTTAACATATTAGTAAAGTTAAGGTGGCTGAGAATTTAAGATGGCAGCGCATTTAAGGTAGCAGTGGAATTATGGTAGCAATGGATTCAAATATTGATGCGGTGACAATGTGTTGTCCTGTGCAAAAATTTGGGCGCCCCAAGTCAAATTCCATGTTGTGTTGATTTTCTAAACGCAAATAAGTAACATCCTCTACAGAGACCACATTCCTGCACATTTTAATAAACAGTTACTGTTTATTTGTTAAATTGGACATGCCATTTTAAGCAAATAAACTGCCCACTATAATTTGCTGATGAAAAGAAATAATAAAAAGAAATAAAATAAAACATGTACACTGACCGGGGGTGTTCAAACTTTTTGCATACCGTAACACAGTAAGTCTAATTTTCCAATAGCCAACCTTAATCAATCTCAAAGACTCCTTCAAAGACTTTGAAGGTCTAATGCTAGTGCTGTACTCTGAATGACACCGGTGGTCAAGAAGTGTGGACGAGTAATTAACGTGCCTTTTGCCACAACAACAAAAGCAACAGCAACCGGTTTATGTAGTGCTGTAAAACTGCAACAACAAAGAAGAAGGAGACGGGATTAGGCACAGGCGCCGGTCTTCAAAGTGTCCAACCTCCCTCTCTACAGAGAATGGAGGGAGGAATCAGACTGGCCATGCTAAATTTCAAATGGGATGCTGACAAGCAAACAAAAGGGGGTAAACAAACACAGATTAATGATTAGAGGGAAGCAGAAGAGCAGGACAGTGACTGATAGTGTCAACACTGCAGCACTTGCATTGACTAAGGTCCAAACTCCAAGCAAAGTGATTCTGCAACTTTTCAGGCCACTAACACTAACAGTGTCTCCCTCACTGTGAAAGTCAAGAAAAACAGTTCAAAATGTTTTCTGACGGTCAGTAAAGGAAAGATCCGGCATAAAAGGTGGATGCTAACTTTATTATTGATCTTCAGTAAACATATCATGATATTTGTCATTTAATAGGAGTGAACTGGGCCAAAATACTGCCATTGGGTCTAATATACTTACATTCATTATGTGAATACACTAAACCTCAGAACAAGGTCACTGAGTAACTGTGTAATAAATAGATAATAAACCCATAAATTGTTACTTCAACTTACTCAGCTCCAACAGGTCCAATAACTTACACACTTTCATAGCCTAAGAATAACTGAGTCGGTTTGCACTGTAGTCCATGTATTTGCTGGATAATTAGCCTTAGGATCCATTAAGGGCTTAACCTTATAGCTCCAGTGTAGAACTAAAGTCCAACTGCTGCACTTCCAATAGTCCAATCTATGGACTTCCAAAATTCCAACTTATGGACTTCTGTAAGTCCAAATCATGGAACCTCCAAAAGTCCAAATATCATAATATGGACTTCCAAAAGTCCCAACTTAGGGACTTCCAAAAGTCTATACTTTCAGATCTCCATAAGTCCAACTTATGGACGTCCGTAAGTCCAACTCGGGGAACCTCCAAGAGTCCAAATATCATAATATGGACCTCCAAAAGTCCCACCTCGGGGACCTCCAAAAGTCTGTACTCTTAGATTCCCACAAGTCCAACTTATGGACTTCCGCAAGTCTGACTCATGGAACCTCCAAAAGTCCAGATATCTTGATATGGACTTCCAAAAGTCTCAACTTAGGAACCTCCAAAAGTCTGTACTTTTGGATTTCCGTTAAGTCCAACTTATGGACTTCCATACGTCCAACTAATGGAACCTCCAAAAGTCTAAATATCTTGATATGGACTTGCAAAAGTGCCAACTTATGGACCCTCAAAAGTCCAACTTACGGAGCTTCCAAAAATAGCTACATAGAAAACTACACACCTGAGGACTGCAGAGGCTCGCAGGCCAGCTCTCCAATGCCATTTCCATAGCAATGGCATCGGTAACGGATGCCTTGGATGTTCTTGTCCCATGATTCTCCAATCTGGTAAAACACCTTGGTCTCTGGCTCCTGGCACTGATCTGAGGCAAGAGAAATATTTGTGTTAGCAAAGTGCAAAATGTCCTCTCTCTCTCAAGCCATCACACTGTGTAGGAAACATCTGCTCTTCAGAGTGCCGGGTTTCCCTTTGAAGAGATTTAAGTGGTTTAGAGAACAAAAAGATGTTCCTTTGGCCAGAGTACCAACAAAGGCATGGAGGTTCTGTCTTCATTGCTCTCACTCTTACTCTAGTGCCCTATACAGCAGTGATTCAGTGAGTAAAATACTAGCGAAAGCTATTGTTCTTTCAGTCCATTGAAGAGAATTACAGGAAATTTGAATCGTTACTGCTAGAACAGTTGAAGAAGAAGGTCAAGCTGCTTTTGAACTTGTTTACTGTGCACACGTCTCCAGAGAGGAGGACGGAAATGAAAGGAAAAATGAGCACACACAAAATGCACTGCCTTACCAACAGCGTCGCATTTCCAGCGTCCGCGGCCCTGGCCGAAGCAAGTGCAGTTCATCATATAGCCCTCGGTGTGGCGCTTGTCGAAGTTCTGGTTCACCTCATATGTCACTCCCTCTACGATACACTGGTCTGGGGAGGAAAATATATATATAACTTCTAGATAACACATAGCATGATATATCACATGAGGTAGTACAATAAAAATAGTACAAAAAAATATAGCACTATAAATGACATAATTATATATATATATATATACACACACACACACACACACATAGTGGCTGCTAAGGTGTTGCTAGGCCATTACTATGGTACCCAAGGTAGTGTAATACCAATAACAATAACAATAATAACAAGAAGATCACGAAAAAACAGTAAGTTGTCTTCCTCAAGCCAACATAAATATATTGTATGTTACACATATACTATTCATGTTATGAAATCATTATTTAATGTCTAATACTGTAACTTATTAAAATACATCATTCATTCGTCTTTCTCTTTATACGCAAGCTCAAGCTTTTGACATTCAGATATATACAAAAATGCATTAATGCAAACGTGGAAATTAAACTGCATACATTTTTAAATTGTTGCACTTGCATATAAATGATTATGCTGATTATAACTGCTTATGCTGATTAAGCAATTATCGTTGTGACCAAAAAGGTAAGGATGGCAATAAGCCTCAAGAGGCCATACATTACAGTGGTTTCACAATGATTAAGAGGTGTTGTTAGACACATCATGAACCAATAAACAAGCCTTGCATCAAGCAATATAGCTTGCTAATGGTAGGCCATAATTGCCAAGCATCATTAATAGCGAAGATCATTCCTCCTTGGTGCAATAATAAAGAATTCATTTAGCTTTTGCGGTCATCCAATCATTAGAACTGGTACTTCTTTTCATAGTGGCAGCATTTAACGCGTACGAAAGGTGAATGAAACAGAACAGCTTGCCGCACCTCGGAGCTGAGAGTAGGCAATGCAGCTCCACTCGCCGCGGCCGTTGCCCTCACACTTGCAGCGCATCATGTGACCCATAGTGTCGTGGCGCTTGTCCCACTCGTCACCCTGGCGATACATCACATCATTGACCGTGCAGATTTCTTCATGAGCTACATGGAGAGAACACAGGTCAGAGATTAAACATGTGGCCTCACTCTGAGTAAGATAGTGTGCTTGAACACGTCCTGTCAAATGACACGTTTTGTTGATTTTATTATATGAAAATGGGTTAATGCATCATCTGCTTAAATATGGCATTTTTCTGCAAATTTCGGCCAAACCTTTGCACACGACACACGAAAGTTCAGGAGGAGTTTATGCAGTCAATACCAGTTCAGTTTAGATGTACCAGATTAAACATGCTTAAGTGCTTGAAATTGGTTTCTAAAACAAACATAAATAGCGAAACTGCTGACTTCAAAAAAATATTTTGAGTAATTTTCATTTTAAATGTTGAATTACAATGGTTATATCACTCTAATTACTATATGTACCTCGTTAAAGTTTAATTAGTGGAAGGCGTGTCCTGGTTAATGCACTTGAGCCAATCAGCTGTGTTGTGAGATGGCAGAAGGTCAGTATTTCTGATTGAAGTATCTCCATATGTGTTACTACAATAGCTAGTAACTTTTACAATAGTAAAAAAATAGTAACAATAAGGAAAATGTGCATGGATATATGCACTGATCTCAGCCAGACACTGTCCTTGGCTCGGTCTTGGCCTCAGCCAAGTCCAGTAGATGCTGCTTGAGGGCGGACCCTGTAGCCCTGGTCAACAGTGCCACAAATTAACGACTCATTATAACCGTTATAATCGTTCTGCACGTATAAAACTCCCACTCTTATAATTACCCTTACATCCTGCTCCTGAGAGCATTTGCAGGTTTTGAGTTTAACAGCCTGGACTCATGAGCGACCAGTTCCATTAAACAGCTATTACTGTCCATAAACCCGAGTTCTTGGAACAGGTTCAGAGCAATGAGTCAGCGCAAGTGACAAGCTAGAAAACCAGATCCTGGCATGGATGCTAGCCTATGCGAGGATTCAAGTGGTATATAAACGTAGCATGAAGCAAATATACGTCTTCAGCCCTGCATTAACCCAAATCCAGTTAATCAGAACATCTGCTTGTTAGTTATGTACTAGAGCTGAGGTTAAGGTAGCAATGTAAGTAAGCAATGGAAGCCTATAACCCATCATTTAGCTGTGTGTCTAAATCATCACACATTTGTGTCAAACTGTGTTCAGTTAATTGAGCTACGTTACGTCTAGTAGACTTGCTTATGTGGTTTCTGGCACTGTATGTTGTATGTTACGGATAAAAATTGACAAAACAGTATTTTGTATATATAATAGTATATCTTACAATACTGCATAAGCAAGTCTATCAGGCTCTCTTAACTAATAACTGATTAAAATTTATACTTTCAGTGAATCTTTTTGTGATTTTAATGGTAAACAGGGTATCCTTAGGCCATTATTAAAGCTGTATTCAGCAGATTTTCCATGTGGGGGAGCTATTAGTGCTCAAGTTGCTTTTGTGAGCGAGGAAACTCACACCAGCAGGAGCTCACAAATGCACATATGTTTGTAGATACAAATTTAATGTATATGAAGTAAATGTTAGCTGTTATAAATCGCATGTACATGAAGAAAAACTAAATTTTAACTGTTTCAAATAGTGTGCATATTAAGTAAAATCAAATGTTAACTTATTCAATTTGTGTGTACATAAGGTAACATTACATGGTAACAGTTTCAAATTGTGTATATTAAGTAAAATTAAATGTTAACTCTTCCATATTCTGTGTAGATAAAGTGAAATAATGCTGTATGTGAAACGAATCGCATGTATGTGAGGTATATGGTTTAGTTTAACTCTTCCAATAACATTCAGTTAGGCTTTACCATGGAATTCACTATAAAACTGTAGCATACAAAGTATATGCCATTTGAATATCTGTAACAAATTTCAAATGTCTCACAGAGCTGACTTAAGTAGTACAAATACTGTGTGGGACATGAATGCTACCAGTAGCTAACATAACACTGAACATCCCATAGAAGCACTTATGGAAATTGGTGTTATCAAAGCGGTTTTACTCAAGGTACGTATGAAGTGAAGACATCTAATACTGCTATATAATGATATTCAGGGGCGTGACAAGCTTGTGTCAAGTATTAAATGGATGTTTCTGATACCCACATATAACTGGATAACACATAATTTAACACATATTTGATAATAAATAACTCCTATAATTACTGGGTTATTTATGACATTATGATATATTTTTGGCTCATTATATACTCATTTTTTGCCACATATATTTTCGAAGACCTCCTTTTTGTCTTTAAGTGTGTTTTCCAAAGGCTTTGTTTAGTTATGCCTTTTTTGCTGTTTGGCCCTCAAGAAAACACTGATTACTTGATTAATTATCAAAATACTAAAATACAATGATTAAAATGATTATTAAGGTAATGGAAAGCGACAGCCCTTAAAGTCTATAAGAGACTCCTTAACAATTCTACAAAGTTTGAGGCAAGTATGTAATGATTTAGGCTAAGTTTGTACACCATCTTTAACTTCTTAACTGTCTCTACGAAAGCTCAGCATGGTCAGCCATTGCTAAAGATGAGGAGCTGTCCTCAGAGTGTACCCACCAGCCATGGGGCAGAAGCCGAAGCGCTGCTCTTCGTCGTAGTTGGTGGTGGTGCCGCACCACTTCATGCCGTCGCGGCGGCCATCGGCGGTGCAGTCCGTGTAGTTGCGTCCATTGTAGATGAAGGGGAACTGGCACAGGGCGCCGTTCGAGTTACCACCACGGGTCATCACCACCACTGGGGGAAGCGAGAGACCAGAGATAAACAACGGCTCTTTAAGCAGGAATTTTTTACTTCATACATCTTTTCAGCTGCGTTCCAGACTAAACCAGACGTCATATTATGGCTGAGGCTTAATGTTATGCTCTGCTCGTTTACAAGAGCAAAGCTTGAGCTGAGGCTTCAAGCAAAACAACAGCTTTCCCTCGTTATAAACTTATCGTGCAGTATAGACTGATCAGCCATAACATTAAACCACCTCCTTGTTTCTACACTCACTGTCCATTTTATCAGCTCCACTGACCGTATAGTTTCACTTTGTAGTTGTACAGTTACAGACTGTAGTCCATCTGTTTCTCTGCATACTTTATCACCCTGTTCTTCAGTGGTCAGGACCCCCGTGAACCATTACAGAGCAGGTACTATTTGGGTGGTGGATCATTCTCAGCACTGCAGTAATACTGACATGGTGGTGGTGTGTTAGTGTGTGTTGTGCTGGTGCGAGTGGATCAGACACAGAAGTGCTGCTGGAGTTCTTAAACACTGTGTCCACTCACTGTCCACTCTATTAGACAATCCCACCTGCTCTGTGGGGGTCCATGGGGGTCCTGATCATTGAAGAACAGGGTAACAAATTATGTAGAGAAACAGATGGACTACAGTCTGAAACTACAGAACTACAAAGTGATCCTATACGGTCAGTGGAACTGATAAAATGGACAATGATTGTAGAAACAAGGAGGTGGTCTTTATTGTTACGGCAGATCAAAACTGATTGCTTTTATTATAGCTAAGGCTAATCTTCAATTTATAAATACAGATACAGCATGAAAACCCAATTTCTTAAACTCAAACCAACAGCAGAAATTCAGTCTGAAATAATGTTAATAGACACTTTATTTGAAGGATACATCATTTTATGTTCATAACACATGTATAAGTACTGAATAACATTCAAAAAGGAATAATTGAGTGTTTATGAACAGCTTATGTCAGTATTTTCAAGGTGACATAAGATGTTTTATAAAGTAAGTGACACTGTATTGATGTTAAACTAAAGTGATGGACATTTGTACAATTTATAACAATGTAATGAAGCATTATCATGGGCTTGAACTCCTACTGAATCCTATATAAGACCCCAAATTGTCAATTCTATGGATGATTTCGAGCCCTCAAACTAAAATGATCAATTTTGCTGTAAATCTTCCTGTTATCATTTTAATTTGAGGGCATCTTTGATGTGAAATGAAGCTGAGCAGGTGGTTACTGCCAGTTTATCAGGCATGAATGCATTAAAACAACAGGAACGTGATTCTACTCATAACTTACTATTACAATAAAAAATAGAAATAAATATCAGTAATTTTTCAGCGACATTTTCAGCAATGCCAATTAATAAGTAACCGATTTTATCAGCCAAGCGATACAACGGTCGAGCCCTAAACTCCAGAAGGTCAAATGGTAGGAAATAAAATTAAAAACAAGAGACCGAAATTCTGCTTAAATATAAAAGAAAGGCTGAACTTACGATTCCTCTGGGTACAGAAAGAGTACTGGCCGTCAGAGTCGTAGTTGGAGGTGGTGCTGCACCAGAGCTGTCCGTCCGTGCGGCCTTCGGAGATGCAGGAGTAGTGCGTCTTTCCTCCAAATACGAAGGGGAACACACATGGCTGACCGTTGGAGTTTCCACCGTACACCTGAGACTGACCATCTGCACACACAGAAAGAAGTATTAACAGTACTATGCCTAAACATTTTGTGCAGAAAATGTACGAAGCTACTGTTACAACAAACCTGCATCACTATAAGCAGCATTTTGTGGAATTAAGAATGCTGCTACTACTCTTTTAAGCGATGTGAAGTAACTTTGTTCAATTTTATTGATAATGATGTGTCAGAAAACACAGCAAGTTTATTAGAGATTATTGAACAACTCCACACAGTTTGAGGTGACTGTGTGTTGATTTAGTTATGCTAAATGCTAATTTTGTGCATAAACTTCCATTACCTGTCAGCTACATTAGCCTTATAGCTCCCATTCAGAACTAAAGCCGCAAACATGTCTTGGCCGACAGCATTTGAAATGACAATTCCTTTAAGACCAGACTAACGCACCCCACTCTTCGCAGCCGATTCCTCCGTTAACACAGGTGCAGATCATCTGCTGGCTGCCCTGCGTTTGGACCCAGCTCATCCCGTTGTAGTAGGTGACTCCAGAAGCCGTGCGGCAGGAACCCTCTTCCTCGACCAGCTGGTTCAGGATGTCCACCTGGTGGGTCACAGGATGAACCCGAGCTGACACGGCTAATCTGGTATCTGATCAAAAATGGGAAAGACAGTTAGAGCCCCATGGCACAGCTAGAGAGTTCAAAGAAAGGCCGTTTAAAAAAAAAAATCTCAGTGAACATAATATTGTTACTGTCGTATAAAACCTATTTTTTTCAAGTATTGCTGAGATATGAAGATTTGTTACATCAGTGACAATTAGCCGAATGCCCGCGGTTCATAAATATTTGGACATCAACAGTTATTGTTACTTTAACTGTCTACTACTGCATATCAACACAAGACTATTCACATCCAAATTGGTTGAACAGTGTAGGAATTACAACCATTTGCATACATAGCCCCTACATGTTTAGGGGCTCAAAAGTAATGGGACAAACTAACAATCATAAATTGAACTGTCATTTTTAACACTTCAATGACTGCCTGCATGCTCAATTGGATCAGGTAGCTGACTTAGCCATTGCAGAACATTTCACTTCTTTGCCTTATACAGTCTTGGGTTGCTTTCGCAGTATGCTTCAGGTCACTGTCCATCTGCACTGTTAAGCGCTGTCCAATAAGTTTTGAAGCATGAATCTGAGCAGACATTATATCACTGTATACACTTCAGAATTTTCTCCTGCTGCTTTTGTCAGCAGCCACATCATCAATAGATACAAGGGAAACACTTCCACTGGCAGCCTTATATGCCCACACTATAACACTACCTCCACCATGCTTCCCAGATGAAGTAGCATGCTTTGGATTATGAGTTCCTTCTCTTCACTTTGCTCTTGTCTTTCAGTCATTTGGTACAAGTTCATATTTGTCTCATCTGTCCAGAAGATGTTGTTCCAGAACTGTACAGGCTTTTTTTCACAAATTCTAATCTAGTCTTCCTGTTTGATTGATTTAGCTCTTGTGGTAAACCCTCCATATTGACTTTAACACCTTTGGGGGGTGTTCCTGATCTGGCCAGCTGTTATGAGGATGGTGTGCCTAAGGATGGGGTTTTTGAGAGTTAACAGAGTTAACACTTGAAATCAATGTTAATGTTTCTCAACAGTCTCTCTTTTCCAAGACTTTGTTGTAGAAGAAGACTCACCAAGAGCAGTGCGTCTCTCAGAGGTGTGTCTCTCACACTTCCACTCTCCTCGCCCGTTCCCTGTGCACAGGCACTGCAGCGTGTTCCCATGAGAGTCCACTTTGGTCCAGGTCTCACCAATGCGGTACGACGCCCTTGTGTCCTGGTCATTACAGCGGTCTGAAAGAGCAGAGGAATCAAAACATGAATAAAATTGTACAATATAATACATTTTTTTGGTAATAATTTTATTTGGTACTCATAGTTCTTTGAAACAAGTGGAGGAATCTGTCGAATGTGCAGATTTCAAACTTTTGATCAACATCGGATTTGTGTTGATAAGCAGAATTGAAGATATTTAAGCATTACATATTTTATAACAACTTAGTCTTATTTTGTGGGAAAGCAAAAAACACCTTTTTTCGATATAAAATGTAAATCTAATAGAAATGCAATTGTATGCTTAACTGTGTAATTAACACTATTTCCAATTAGAACAGCAACAAAACGTACAATGACTAGGGGTGCCAAAGCTTCTGCACAAGACTCTAAATACATCAGGCGATTAGGGTCCATTAAGGATGATGAGGACTTTCCTCATAACAGCCCTCAGTCAGTACTTTCATCCTCACTCCCATCACTTTTCCCCTTCCGATCTTTGACATAAGGCACTCTTCACAGGATGCAGCTTTCCACAACACCATGTTCTCCATTGTTTCTCCATGTTTTGCACCATTTTTTCACATTTAGTTTAATGTCCTTTCTGTCACTGGCCTCGACACCTTCCAGAAGAGAGGTTTAGGAAGTTTAGAGCGTTCTTAATGGTGTTTGTTCACTCTCACTTCCTTGGTAGCACCCCTTTACAGCGCTAGACACTGGGCAGCGTGCTGTCTTTTTCCACTCGCCTGCTCCAGTCCAGCTGAAGAAAAGCTCACAGCCTTAAAGGCCCCAGTGGTACTGATGTAAGAGGGGTGCGCCCACAGTAATGATTACATGGTAATAAGAAGAATTTAGCTGAACATGTGGAATCTGACAGAAATTATTAAAAAGACCTACATAATTTTTTTAAATAACTGATGAGCAAGGACTGCAGTGGGCCAGCGGGTTTAAGCCCAACAGCAAAAAACTACTTATATACCATATAAACTCGGCCGCTTTTGTAAAACAGCAATAACTAAATATCGGCCAAATGGCTCAGTTTACACGTCAGTCCCCCAGGAATGGTGATGTGATCCCTGTGAGCTCACATGTTCCACTGGACTATAAAAGTAAAAGCTGGTCTAGCTCTAGAACCCTGTGAATGACGTTTTCTTCAGATGTTCAATGTGAACTCAAAACTTTTAAAGAAATAGTTTGGTGAAAAGTTCAGTTTGCACATTTTCTCCAATAACCCAAATGTAGTCGACCAGTTAGGACATATTTAGTGTCAGAGGTTTGCTTCTTTAGCTCTGCACTGGAGCTAACAGGCTAATGTAGCTAACAAGTAATAGAAGCATACACCAATTATCATTGTGCTAACTCCCTCCACTCGTTTCACTACAGGTTGCCTCTTTTATCCTCACCATTTTCCCTCAGGAAACCCTTGACACCATCTTAAGGGCTGTTCCACTACTTTATTAGCTCAAGTGAAGTTTATTAGATCAGTGCTCGGATGGAGTTTTACAGTAAACACCAGAGTCGACTTTGGCAGCAGAACTCATACAAAAATCATCGCGACTTGGCAGAAAAGTACTTAAAAATGCTTAAAAATTCAAAACCATAACATTCGATTTGTTGGGCTTTAGGTTACAAACTACTATCTGTTATACATCACTGCTGTTCTTCATCTCTTTACTCTGATAGCTGGCTAGTTAGCTTGCTAATGGCTAAATGGCGAACAACAACAAGATAAAAGACACTACACCTCAGTTCAACACCAATTTTAAAGCAGTTAACCACAAATTTTATGTAGGTTATGCCCAAACAAACTTGTTTGCATGGCTAGCTGATTAGCTCACTGAGGCGAATAGGCGTATAGGCGAATATATTCTCTTTTTACATGAGTAGATACTTGTGTGATGTCATACAGCATCAGGAACCATAACAGCAAGTCTGTTAGATTTTTTTAACAAATCTACACATTTTTAAGTAAGTATTCATGACATAGACATGCTAAAAGCTAATTTTCTTCATAGTCGTCCATTACTTGCTAGCTATTATGTCTTGGCTGATTGACTGTATTTGTGTACATTTAATTTTTTGCCAAATTAGTGCTTTAAAAAGCTTGAGTTTAGAGTACGTTTAGCTCACATCAGTGCTGAAAATTGGTGCAAAATATGTCCTTGGGTTTGTTCTGGCCTAGTATACGGCTGAATCCGCTGTCCAGATCTGGCCCACACACTGTAAAGTGGGTAGAACTAATAGATTCTGCCCAAATCTGGCCCAACTACATTGTTGATCCACAACATTCACAGAAAAATTGGCCCACAAATACAGACACAAGGCCAAATCATATTAAGCTGTCTAGCATCTGGCCCTATTCTGGCCCGCATGCCTAAAATCTGCCTGTTAGTCAACCACCAATCGCGTAAGAAAGCCGGCCCAAATATGTCTACTATCTGGATGAGGTTTTCACCACTTAGCTTTCTTTATAATTAAGGAACAGCAAAGCTCAGATCTATAACTTACTTCTGGAGGTGCAGGTGATGCGTCCACTACCTTCTCCCAAGCATGTGCAGTCCACAATCATCCAGCTCTGGTAAGGCTTCTCCCAAGTCTGACCAACCACATATGAGGAACCCAAAGAGGAATCGTAGCAACGCTCAGCTGCAAGAAACAATATTAAATTGAGGTCATCACCTTTGTTTGGGCAGTTTTGATTCATCAAAGTGTATCAAATATAACACAGAGCAATCCTATTATTAACTATATTAATCCTACTATTAATTATATTATTCACTAACCAATACACTTTTAATACACCACAAGGCTGACTAGTGTATTATACACTAGTATTTGTCCATATCGTACAGCTTTACTGGAAACCCTGTAGATTTTACAAGGTTCAGGCACTGCAACTCGTGTCTGACACACTTTTCAGTTATTGATCCTTTAAATATTTGCGATCAGCTCAACCACTGGCCTGGATTTCCCAGAATCCTCGCTGCTGAACTGTCTATATGTGCAACAGCCCACACAGAGCGCAAGCTGCCCCTGTTGACCCCCCATGTTAAAAAGCACGTACCGACAGGTTTGCAGGTCCACTCTCCCTTCCCGTTCCCCAGACACACACACTCCAGCATGTAGTCCCCGGTGTCGTGAGGGCGCGTCCACGTCTCTCCGATCCTGTACGAGCGCCCTCCTTCATGGCAGCGGTCTGATACGAGAAAATAAAGAAAATGGATTTCAGTGATAGTTTTATAATATTTTTATAATGGTGATAGTTTTAATATGTAAGGAACGAGATAGATGGCTGTGATAACACTGCACCGTAAACATACAGTGGAGTAAGATGCAGTACTATGTGCAGAACTTGTAGCTCCAGAACCAAACATGTTTGGGCTGCTCAACAATATGTGATCACAGGGGTCATGTAAATTTCATTTTTCACCAAATTGTGGACTGAGAAGGAGGCGTCTCTAAGAGGATTCACTTACTTGCTATGGTGCAGCTGATTTTGCCCCTGCCGGAGCCAATGCAGGTGCAGTCCCAGATCATGCTGTCTTTGGGCCGCTCGTACGTCTCCCCGACGCGGTACGACCTCATGTTTATTTTGTCGTAACAGGTCTCCTCAACTGCAAGATCAAAACCAAGGTCAGAGATAAACACTACACACACACACACACACACACACATTATCTAAGCCGCTTATCCCTCTGGGTTGTGGGGGGGTGCTGGAGTCTATCCCCGCTGTCACTGGGTGGAGGGCAGGAAACACCCTGGACAGGTCTGGACATTCACACATAGGGCCAGTTTAGCATGTCCATTTGGCCTGACCATGTCTTTGGACAGTGGGAGGAAACCCACACAGACACAGAGAACATGCAAACTCCACACAGAAAGGACGCTGGTCGCCCGGCCGGGGAATCGAACCCAGACCCTTCTTGCTTAAACACCATACACTACATAAAATTCTTGCTAGTAATTTTGGACCATTTCTATTGGTCATTTCACCATGAAATTGTAACACAATATAAAGGGCAGCTAGTGTTTTCAAGTTTCTGTCAAAAACTAAAAAAATTATATGAAGGTTTTGTTCCATTATTTGGTATACGTAACATCTGCCTTTACTGAAGAACCTGTGAAGAATGGGTGTGCAGTTCTCCAAAGTGCCTAATACTGCGATTGCAATTTAAATAGCGATTATTTTCTATAAATTAAAGTTTTCTTCGGGCAAGAAGACCAGGCCTGAACACCGTGTGCCAGACGGCCAGTTAGTTGTGGTTGTGACGTCACAGCATGGGTGCCTTTGGTTGGTTCTGACTGGTCTAACTCATCAGAGTTTGATATGAAATCGATTAATCTTTCAGCCCAACTCCATTCAACTGTAGTCATGAGCACTTTCACCTGCTGTCTGACGAACACCACAGCTTCAGAAGCTGTCTAGATGACTGTCTTGGCATGAGTCTCACCAACCTGCAGGTTTGGACTCGCATGTGATGCCCGCCGTCCCCTGACACGTGCAGAGTAAAGTGCTGCCCATGTAGGGTCTCTCCCACTGGTCCCGCACTCTGTGGAACCGGTCACCCTCCATACAGCCTTCTGCAATGAGACGAGACATTCTTTAACATTAATTCTACATATAGACCTGCAGGAGAACATCACAGTACCGCAGAGGAACTGAAGATCAACTCTGTTCTCCAAAGCAGGAGGTGTGAGCGGCAGTAAAGCAGACCAGGAGCTTATTTTTCAAATCTTCTGAATAATTTAGATCTCAACAAAGTCATTCAGAGTGGTTTGGTATGAAATGCTCCATTCTAGAAGGTCAGAATTGTTCACAGTGGTGGTGATAAGAACCAGGCGTCCACCTCCAAAAGCTCCTTCACAGAAAGTTATTACATGAAATGGTTATGAACTCACCGCCTGATGTCTGAGACATTCTTTCACGATAGTTTTGAGAAGGTGTTTTTTTAAATCCATTTATGGTGGAGGGATATATGAAGGGTGTTCTAAGCCAAAACAGTCCCTAAGGAAAACTTATTATGTCAGATTTTCCACTATTTCCCATCATCAACATTCCGTATAAACTCAGAAGACTCGTGTAGGTTCACTGGTGGTTTTGGACAGTAAATAAAATGTCTATTTTTGTGTTGTAGTCATAGCGACCCCTGGTTCCTATCACCACCACTGTAAAGACATCTGAACCATTTCACACCAAACCACTCTGAATCACTCTGATTACATCTCAAACGCTGGATTATGCAGAAATTATACAAACTTTTTGGTTCATTGTAGAGACTCAGATGTCTTTACAGTGGTGGTGATAGGAACCAGGGGTCGCCATGACTACAACACAAATATAAACATTTTATTTACTATCAAAACCACCAGTGAACCCGACACGAGTCTTCTGAGTTCATATATAGAATGTTGATGACTTGGGGACTATTTTATACATACCTCACAACGCCCTGCATGTATCCCTCCACAAAACTATCATACTATCATAAAACAGTGTTTCAGTCATCAGGCAGTGAATTCATACCCATTTCATGTAGTAACGTTCTGTGAGGGAGCTTTTAGAGGTGGACGTCTGGTTCCTATCACCACCACTGTGCACAGTTCTGACTCTGTAAGTTTATCTAGAACAGAGCGTTTCACACCAAACCACTCTGAACGACTCTGTTTACATCTTAACCACTTAATTATTTAGACATTCTTAAAAATTGGTGGAGCTCCCCTTCTATACAGTTCTATACAGAGCCTTTTGGAAAATGGTTCTGGATAGCATCAAAAAGGCTTATGCTATTGATAGAACCATAAGTTCTATATAGCACCAAAAAGGTTATGCTGTTGTTAGAACCATGAGTTCTACATAGCACAAAAAAGGTTATGCTGTTGTTAGACTCATGAGTTCTATATAGTTCCAAAATGACTTCTACTATTAGAGCCATGAGTTCTATATAGCACCAAAAGGTTTCTGCTGTTGTTAGAACCATGAGTTCTATATAGCACCAAAAGGGTTCTGCTATTGTTCGAACCATATGAACTGGTGCTAAATAGAACCCTTTTTAAAGAGGTTCTACATAGAACCATATACAACACATTCTCCATTAATCTAAAGAACCATTTCACCATGCAGAGAACCATTTAAGCATGAAATGGATCTATTTACAACTCATTGTTCTAGATAGAACCGTTGCCTTTACTAAAGAACCCCCTTTTTCAAGTAAGCACCATTTGAAAAGGACAGAAGTGTAATAAATTGGCAGAAATACATTTATTATCACTTTTAGAGAAGAACTCTGTCCAGATTTACTTCTCCCTCTGACTGACCAGCACTCAGTCCTACTCTGACTCTATGTGTGTTAAATCTGTTTGTCCTGCTGTGATGACCAGTACTCAGTCCTACCCTGCAGTCCAGTGTACCGTGTCGCCTCCTTGAACGCTGTGTCCAGCGCGACCTCCTGCTGGTCTCTGCTCCGCCCTGACTGCGGCAGACTCAGCACCGCGCTGCCGGCGCACAGCAGCAGCAGCCCGGCCACGCACCCCCGGACCATCCCGCTCTGATCCCACTCAACGGAGAAAGAAGAGATGAAGAAATAAAGCCACACCACACCGCCGACCAGGCACTGCTTTCAGCTGCAGCTCCGCCGCTGGGAGTTTATATATCCCTCCGCCAGCGCTGAGGGGCGGAGCCTGCCCGCCACGCCCACCACCGCTGTGTGCAGCACTAAATCCACCACTGTGGGTTTTTTTGTTTTATTTTATATTTTAGTTTTTTGGCAAAAGTATTTTGACATTTTGATTTATCTCGACATAATGACTTATTTTCTTGAAATCGTGATCTGTTTCCTTAAAATGTTTGTAATCCCTACGTCAAAATGATTACATTGTCTCAAAAGTAACCAGTGTTTCAAAATAATGACTTATTTTATTGAAATTTTGACTTGTTTTTTTGTTTTTTAATTTGAACTTGTTTACTCCAAAATATAAAAACAACCTGACATATTCTCCAAATTGTAACATGGTATGATAAAAACGCCATATATTTTTAAAATTTCAGTTTAGTATCTCAAAATAATGACTTAATTTTTCTAAATCAAAACATTTCCTCAAAACATTGACTCAAGATTTGAAGATAATGACTTGTTTCTCAATATTTCAACTTGTTTTCACATCTCGAACATTTCGATGACTATGCATAAATAATGACTTACTTTCTCTAAATTTTGACTTATTTTTCATAAATAATTTAATTACTCTGTGAAAATAATTACATTTTCTCAGAGTTGATCTCGTATTTCCAAAATGGTAACTTTACAGGAGAAGGAATTTTCTCAAAATATTGACTCATTCTCTCTAAATAGCATCTCAAAGTAAAGGCCTATTTTCTTAAAGTAGTATCTCAAAACAGTTACTCAATGCAGTGTCATTTGCCTAATAAATACTCAAGTAACGCATTAAAAATGCACATTTCAAGGCTTATGCACGTTATGAAGTCCCAAAGTGGCCTTTTTTTTAACCAAATCTATGTCCATCCAGCTCAGTAGAAGGCAATAAATCACAGAAACCAAACTGAAGTCTAGGAGTGAATTCTTTATTTCCACATTGCAACATATGACTGCATTAGCGCTGCTCTCCTCGCCCTCTGAGAGGGACAGTGCTGACCCTTTGGAGAGGATTAGCCGTAGCCTGTGCTGTCAGAGAAGTCCTGCGTCTCGTCAGCGCTGAGGGGAAAAGTTCACCACTCTCGGGAGAAAGCGGCTCTAGGGAGGAGAATCAGTCCCATCATGCTGACTTTATATTAGCTCATAAACAAATTCACTTCTATTACATAAGCGCAGCTCCAGAGCGAAGCTTTCAGCGCGACAGTTTGTTTGATTTCCAGACAGCAGGGATAGTCCACAGCACATCTATCAAAAAGATGTTATGAGGCAGGAACGAGGCCAAAGCTGTGGGGAACATACAGAGACTATTAGAGAGATCGTTTGGCAAAATTGTCAAACTTTCACAATTGTCCTCTTAACCCAGATGTAGTCGATCAGTCGAGTGTGTGAAACTTGCTTCATACTTTTAGCTTTACACTGGAACTACGAGGCTAATGTAGCTAACAAGCTAATGGCTAGCGTTTAGCATTGGGTTTTTTCTTGTGTACCACGATTGGGTGTAAAAAAAAAGCACCCCAGAGAGTCTTTCAGAAGTAAAGATGAGGAGGGGTTCACCACTCTGTGAAAGACTGCACGATCAAATAGTGCAACAATTCAAGAATAACGTTTCTCAACGTAAAAGAACTTTTGCTTTTCATCATCAACGGTACATAATAACATTAAAAGAGTCAGAGAATCCAGAGAAAGCAAGGGTCCGCAAATCGATATTAGCTTGCCATGATCTTTGGGCCCTCAGACGCCACTGCATTAAAAACAGACAAGATTCTGTAGTGGAAATCACTGCATGGGCTCAGAAACACTTCTGAAAACCACTGTGTGTGAAAACAGTTCATTGCTGCATCCACAAATGCAAGTTAAAACTTTAACTGTATATATATATATATATATACATATATATATATATATATATATATAGATATAGATATATATACATATATATATATATATAGAGAGAGAGAGATAGATAGATGGATATGCAGGATTGAGAAACGCTGCCACCTTCTCTGGGCTGCTGGAAGTGGAAAAGTGTCCTGTGGTCCAATTAATCAAAATTTGAAATTCCTTTTGGAAATCACTGTCCTCTGGGCTAAAGAGGAGAGAGAACATCCGGTTTGTTATCAGTGAACAGTTCAAAAGCCAGCGTCCGTGATAGTATAGGGGTGCATTAGTGCACATAGCATGGGTGGCTTGCACATCTGTGAAGGCATCGTTAATGCTGAATAATATTTACAGGTTTTGGTGCTGCCATCGTGTGCGGCCATCCAGATGACGTCTTTTTTTTAGAGAAGGCCTTCCTTATGCACATGTTACAGCAACATGGCTCCATAATGAAAGAGCCCGGGTGCTAAACTGGCCAGGCTGCAGTCCAGACGTGTCACCCATTGGCTTTCTTTAAACTGAGAGACTGACAACTAATTTTCTTAGCTAGAACTAGGCTGATCAGCCAGCAAACAGGCTAAAAAAACACTTACAGTCACAGTAAAAATACACTTCACTTCAACTGTAACACATGGCCTCTCATGGCTTACTGCTTTAATATAAAACATCTTTTACAAGCTTCAAATGTCCATATTTAATCTAGAAAGACCAAAATAATGTGCAGCAGCACTAGCTTAGTGCTAACATACTATTATGTTATGACTTAAGGCCACTAGGAGAAGTTAGAATTATCGGAGAGGTGCTTTTCTCGTTTTTTAGCTTTTTTTTGACACTTATGGCCTGCAAAGAGCTTTAATAGTGATGGTTCGCCCCGGAACAGTGTTAGAAACCACATAAGTAAGTCTATTTAGGATAACTCAACATGGTTTAAGCCATGTTTGCATAATTTGTTGTCATTAGCTTCTTTTACCTGTTAGCTACATTAGCCCTGTAGCTCCAGCACTCTACTGAAGCAAACAGACACCAAACAGGTTTTAGATCCATCTACACTGCTAAAAAAACAGCAAAGACTAGCATGGCTAGTCACCAGCAAAACTAGCAAGTAGTCGCTGTTGGAGGAACCTGGTATCTCCAAAAAAAGATCAATTTACAGGAGAAAGAAAAGAAGTTATTAGTATTTAATACAACGCAGAAGCGATTTATTCCAAGTAATTTCAGACCATTTCTGTTGGTCCATTCATCGTGAAATTTTAAGACAATGTAAACGGCAGCTGGTGATAAAATTACGTGTCAAGTTCCGTCAAAAAATTATCGTGCGTGTTTGTATCTTCATCAAGATACGTACATGCAAGCTTTACAGTCAAAGATCATACTGGGTGATTAGCCAAACCAGCATCAACCAGCATGGATTTTTTTAGCTCGGTACATCTGAGCTAAATGGGAAACTGAATAAATTTGATTTTTCATAGAAACATTCCTTTCACTCATTCATCTTGTTATTATGCTGTTCCTTTTCCACCTTGATGAGTTCACCTGTCTGCAGCCCTCTTAGTCACTACCTGCGCTGTGTGTTTGTCTGTGATTCATGAAGGCTCTGCTGTTCCAAAGGAGAATATCCAGCCTGTTTGCTCACAGTGTTTGCTGCTGATTCAGAGAACACTTTATCGAGCCGTGCATCCTGACTACAAGCATACAGCAGTGTGGGTGTCTGTTTATGTGTGGGTGTGTGTGTGCATGTGTGTGTGTGTAGGAGAAGTTATGATGCAACTTACAAATATTGAGCATAATGCAATGTAAAACTTTCTATTTAATGGCCGGTTTAGAAACACCTACATTGTTTTTCCACTCACTGGCCACTTTATTAGAAACACCTATGTTGTTTTTCCACTCACTGGATAATATATTAGAAACACCCACCATGTACTTCCACTAAGTGGCCACTTTACTGAAAACACCTACCTTGTTCTTCCACTCACTGGCCACTTTATTAGAAATACCCATCTTGCACGTTCATTTATTGGCCACTTTATTTGAAACACCCACCTTATACTTCCACTCACTGGCCACTTTATTAGAAACACATGCCTTGTACTTTCACTCACTGGCCAATATATTAGAAACACTCACACTGTACTACCACTAAGTGGCCACTTTATTGGAAACACCTACCTTGTTCTTCCACTCACTGGCCACTTTATTAGAAACACCTTCCTTGTACTTTCACTTGCTGGCCATTTTGTTAGAAACACCTACCTTGTACTTCCTTGTACTTGATTGGTTAGCATTATTTCTACTGAGTGCTGATTAATTAGCATTACTGCTATTGAGTGCTGATTGGTCGATGTTGCTGCTACTGTGTGCTGTTTGGCTGATGTTACTGCTTTTGAGCGCTGATTTGTTGGCATTACTGCTCCTGAATGCTGATTGGCTGGCGTTACTGCTACTGAGTGCTGATTGGCTGGCGTTACTGCTTCTGAGTCCTAATTAGTTGCGTCACTGGCATAAATTTTTGAACATTTACAAACTGCGATTTTGTACAAAAGCTCCATAGAAACCCAATCATTTTGGACTTGCCCAGGGAGCGCCCTCTAGTGTATAACAAACTCTTGAGACACTGAAGGGCAATTGTCTTTATTGTATATTCTCTGCTATAGTCTCTGACTGTACAATTAGGGAATCTAATAAAGTTGCTGTTGAGGGTACATCATTACATCAGTACAGTCAAATGCTAGAATCACCGCACACTCTCATCCACTCAAATTGTACTACTGCAAGAGATTTGTATTAAAAAGGAGACAAAATTGCTATGAGTAAAACACTTGGCCGCTCTTTATCATGAATTATGGTAATACGCTCTTACCAAAAGTCTCGTGGTAGTAATGCATCGAACAGCTGTGGAAAGAAACCTTACGGAACGTGCAGCAGACTGTTGACAGAAAGGCGAGACTGATAACGCTCTGGGCTGGCCTGAGTGTTAAGCTTACTGACTCATCCGTCCAGCCTTTGGGCCCCCACTGTAAAAAAAATGTGTCTGCCTGTTCGGTTCCAGTAACAGAATGGGCGCAATTCCTCACACCA